AAATAAAAACAACTTTTTCTCGTTTGCTGCTGTTTGTCATGTGTCGGCAAAATGTTGACAATGAAAATGATTATGACTGACTGCTTGCCGGGGTGTGTGTTATGCCAAAGCTGCCCTATAGGGGTTAAGGCGGGAGCGGTGCCCAGGGTCTAGGGGGAATGAGCCTTGTCGGCTGCTGTTTGAAATGGCTGCGACGTGTAAATGTCGCTAATATGCCGAGGACACCTACAACGACGATGTGGGTGTGGAAACAACAGAGGAATGCACCGAGAAAAACTGGTTAGTAGTTAGAAGTACTTAAGATTTTAAGTTCCCATTTATGTACATACTAAAGGTAAGGAACAGCATACCTTCGAGAAATCTGTATTTAAAGTAAATGATCATATTATAGTAACCCAATATTTCTCGCAGTGCCTGGATGAGGATGTGCTACTGTACCTGTGATATGAGGAGCATTGGCCATCATGGCCAGCTGCAGGTAGGTGTTTTGGTAAGCTTTTGGCCTTGTCTAAGCCAATGTCAAAAGCCCTGCCGCTGACAGAGAATCAGCGAAACAGACAGAGGGAGAGGGACTACGGCTCGAGAAAGACAGGGCTAGGGGGAGGAACATTATGACACACATCGTTGGTCATAAGGTTAAGCTGTTTTCATCGCACTCCCACTGAATGAGGCGGCAGCTGTCGCCATCAAAGTCAAAGTGCTGCAAATTAGATTTTTATGTTAATTAAAAAGGTACGCACACATTCTAATAAGCATTTCCCAGGCACACACACGCGCGCCTGAAATCTGATTTTCCGTCTCATTTTCGGCAAATCAATTGGTTGGAAATGATCTTAATTCGCTTTCGAAAAGTCGCCAAGCGGCAGACAAATCGATGATTGAGTGAGTGCACTGAATGATTGAGCCGTAGACTGAAAGAATGAGCTGAGCTCAAGAGCAAGTCATTGCGCGGGGCGGTGTCTTACGACAGGTGAGAGGTGAAAGGTGAGCGATTAAACGACAGAGATTCCCAACAGCTTATTGAGAGATTAACCCTTGAGTGAGCGGAAAACTTTGGGGGAAAATTAATAGTTTCCTGAGAAACGAGTGGGGATATTACAACGCTTAATCACTCTGCTAGTCAGTTACTCTTTATTAAGTATACTATGTTATAGATAGTTCGATGTTATATTATTCGAGATAGAAATTTTGGATATCTTATCAAATCCAAGGCAATAGATTAAGGAATAACTGTGTATTTAATGCATAGCTTCGTAGCAAGTTGAACTTATGTAATTAAAATTCAAAATCGAGAAGGCAGCATAAATAAGCTTTACCCAAGAAGTCAGACAGACAGAGGAGAGATATATAGAGACAAATATTTCCCCACCCAAAAGCGAATCAAAGAGTTGTCAACTTGCAAGTCAAACATCCCCGTAAGCCAAAGCCACTTGTAAAGTCAAAGTCATTCAAAATATATGCATACTTCATTTCATAAATTACGCTGGCATTAAAAGCGAGGATAGACATTACCGCCCCAGCAGCCCGGCAACCACTTACCCACCCATTACCAGTCCGAAACGAACTTCTCAAAGCAATTGATGCGCAACATAAATCTTCGAGCATGTGAAGAGTGTTCCTCCAGTTCCACAAAGTCAGCCTGAAGAGTGGGCAGGGAAATGCCTGGGAGTTTCGGATTTCAGGAGGAGCAGGAAAAGCGGGAGAAGACGGAAAAGCGGGGGAGGACCTATCAGTCGCTGCTATTTATCATTTAGGTACTCCTGCCGGTTAGTCATTTTTTCTGCGGCATCTTCCGTTCGGTGTGAGTTATTGCAATTCTGCAACAATTTTTCTTTCGAGTGCCGTTGGCCACTTCAAGACTTTCATATCAAGTTCAGTTTGGCGAGAAAAGGATTTGAAAGCGGAACGACGGCAGGTGGTTCATCTATACTTTCCCCTGCACTGAAATGAAAAATGGCTACCGTTAGTACGTAAATTCGGGAGCCATGGGTTCAGTCTTAATCAATTTCGATACTAAGGTAAAATACTTTTGATTCGGAATCGAAATATTTATAATTTGAAATATTCATTTATTATCTAATATATACTTTTTCCAGTAGCCTAAGTTAAGCAGATTTACTTACCGTGTACCCATCACATCTCCTCACGGCTGTTTTGTGATTTTAATGCCGATTGACAAGGAGTAGGAGCTAGGGAAAGGGCCCAAGGAACGGAAACTGAGACTGAAGACTGGTTAAGTCAGTGTCAGGCTGTGTTATCCTCGCTGTCCGTCCATCTGCTCGTCCCGGACGGGCAGTGTCTTGGTAATGGACTTGGTACTTTGCAACTTGCCCATTCAAAATGTGTGTGTAAGAAGTTTAAATCGCATCCAGCGGCTGGGGCAGAAGGGCCGAGTGGTATGAAGGAGCCGAAGGACTGCGATGCTCACACTTGAATAAATACCGGGACGAGCCGGATGACGATGGCGATGCTGTCATTGCAATTGCAAATAAATAAGAAAGCCGGGCGCAAGGATGCCGAGGAATCCAGCAAGATGGGCGACAAAGTTGCCCAGAAGCACAAGTGGGAGGTAGGGAGCTTAAGTTGCTTGTAATAAAATTGCTGCGAGGACTTGAGAAAAGTGCAAAAATGAAGTGCACAGATGCTTATCAACTCGGTCTCTGCCCCTGCCCCTTTCCCGCCCCCATTTCCTTGCTTTTCTCCAACTGCAATCTCTGCTTTTCCTCAGTCAAGTTGCAGATACTTTTGCTATGATTTAACCGACACCTTTCTGGGGAAAAGTCGAGGAGGAAAGGCGTGAGGCATCCAGCTGGAGCCTGTGTGGGTGTCAAAAAATGAGAAATACCTTCGGTCCGAAGGCAAGGCTACACGGTGAGAAATCTCTACTGCAAATATTAGAAAGTTTGTGGGAATCAGAGACAAAATCGCTGCCAATTAAACAAGGCTTCAAGTTTTCTCACAGTGCTTTCATCTGCTTTCATTTCGGGTAAAAAGAAATGCTAAGTAGTCTGTCCGTAAGTCGGATGGCCAGGATAGGAAAGAAGATGAGGGGTTTTCCAAAAGCAACAGGGAGGGGGCGTGTCAAAGCTCATTACTTGTTGTCATGTTGCGATTACGTTGGCAAAGCTTACGTTACGTAAATGTAATTCATAGCCATGTGGGATGCGAGGGGTTCGAGTATATACTCAAGGACTTCCCGGCAATCGCACAGAGAAAGAGAGAGATACAGAAGCACAGGTACAAGGGCATACAGCTATCCAGCAACTTCGGTGCCATTATGAAGTGTCTGCTCCTGTTCCAAGCATCTCCCATCCCGTGTCCTGTGATGTATGGCTGTCATTTCACACATGCGAGGAGCCGGGGAGAGATTGTCTGACTGATTGTGTATGGGTCTGGATCTGAACCGGCGTACTACGGTCCTGTCTGTGTGATAAGCCTTTGCTAACTAGCTGCCTGCTCACAGATTTGTAGCAGTTACTAAAAGTTCACTTACGGCAAGAAGTCTCAGCTAGGATAAGAGCGGTAAAAACCAAGGCGGGATGTGCAGTGGGCAGATGGAAAGAAAACAGCAGTCAATCCATAAGGCAGCCAACTGGCTGGCGCTAATGTGACTTTCCCTCAACGAGCACGTTTGTAATTTCTGTTAGCCATTTGTTAATGGAAACTATTCTTCCCCACCCCCTAACCCACCCTTAATTTGTTCGCCAATAAGTGTGCTACACAGGGTGGGGTCCTTTTCCATTTCCACAATTATCGGTTAATTAAAATGAGCTCGCAAACGGAAATAGAAAGAAAAGTTTTACATTCGGTTTTGATGCCCAGCAAAATGGAGTTTGATCGAATGCGTGTTAAGAAGTATCTGGTTGCAGTGTAGAAAAATAAAGTAATATTGTTTATATACGAGAAATTTTGAATTTTAAAAAGGGAATTCGTGTTCATGTTGTTAAGAATTTTCACCATGGAGGCCTCGATCTGATCACAAGCTCTGAGCTGATATCCCCTCGACAGTTACCTCCATGGCTTATCATTACCCCGAGTCCTTTCAGGGCATTACCATACACTCGTAGGAGAAAAAGTAAACTTTGCCAAAGCAAAAATTGTTACTAAATGGTTTATGCACACATGGAAGCCGGCTGGAAAAAAGGGAGAAGAATAAATAACCGAACAGAGGAAAAACAACAAGTTAGAGGAGCACACCGAGCTGGGAAGGGAAAATAAATGCAACATGTAATGATTGCAAAAGTTATAAAACGTAAATTAAGTTGAACGAATGAAGAGTTACCGACCGAGCGCCGGCATAATGTAATGAAAATGGGAAAAAATGCCACGAGGAAAATTCAGCCGACACACAGAAGCCAACATGTTCGCAATGTTGTTTTTCCAACTTTTAATGCGGGGAAGCTGCCAGTGCTGAGGAAAACTGTTGGGGAAAACTATGAAATTAACTGCTTATTAAGGCCAGCCAGAGAAGCCTGTGATGGATTCCGATTCCTCTCCTCCATGCTCCGTGCTATGGGCTCCGTGGACTAGGGACTACAGCTACTCCAAGTTTGTCAAGTGAAACTTTCTGCCAAATGGCATGGAAAATGTACCACAAGCGGGAAGCATCATTAATTATTTTGCTCATTAGCGTGTGTAAGAGACATTACTAACCAGGCGAAATCCAACAGCCAGCGCAACAAATGCTGCACAAGAAAACTCTTGAAATTTTCTTAGTTAAGGTCTCGGTTTCCTGTCGCATCGCAGACATCCTTTTCCTTCCTCCTTCGTCCCTCGTCCTTCGTCCTGCGTATCTGTGTCGTGTCAAAAGCAGCAAATGCTGCAAAAAAAACTGCAATTGAAAATGGCACACAGAATGTAGATGAAGCGCTGAATACGTAAAGTGTGCGTACGATGGCAAAGTTTTTGGAGTGCCAATGCCCTGTATCGATTGCCCAGCGGAGGTATGCTGAGACTTGCTAGCAACGTTACCAAGAAGAACACATTTTTCACAAGAGTGATACCTCCGTTTAATTTTATTTCAGTAATATCAATTTCCAATTAAACATCGTCTGCCTGGCAAATGAAAAAGTTAAACTGGGCACAGTTGGTATCGTTCATTTCGCCGGAAATTATCTCCACACAGTCTTCTTTGCCATCGTAGTTATTTGGTTGTCCAGACTTCCAGTTGAAGAACTCGACAGTATTCCCTGAGCCATCATGCAAGTAGGTGCCCTTCACTTCGTGGTCGGTGATGCCCAGCCAATAGTTTAATCCCGTTGTCAGTTCAGCTCCAACGGCTTCGAGTTCCTCCTGGTTTTTAAAAGTGGCCAAAGATCCACCCATTGTACGACAAACTCTTGAGGCGTTGGACCAATCCGCTTTAAAATACCTCTCAATGTAGATTTTCCTTGACCCGATCAGTTCGAACTTCGGATTATATATACCCTCCCCTGGAATTTTGGCTATGACTAGGTTTCTCTGTACGGCTGCCAATTGGTCGCCCGCCTTCGCCTCCAGCGCCTCAATCTTGCCCAGCCTTTCTGCGAAGTCTTGCGGTATATAATTCTTAAAGGCAGCCAGCAGATCTTTTTGGTTCTTTTCCAAATTGATCTGCACCTCTAATTGGGCTGCATTTGACTTCTGTGCATCCACCTGTTTGACCTCCATACCGTCCACTCTCTCTTTTAAATCACTCAGAGCTCCATCCTGGATAGATTCCTCCATTTTGATCTGCATCCTCTGCAGCTTGTCCTCTAGTGCACCCAACTTCGACAGGGTTTGGTTGTGAAGAGCAAGGAAAAATTCGTCTCGCTGCTTGGCGATGTAATCTAGTAGGGGCAGCATTCTGGTCGTAAGGTCTTGCAGTTGATCTTCAGTTAGACACGCTTTCGAAGAGTACGCCTGGCATCCATCCAGATTCCAGACAGTGAGTACTAATAAGCAAAAAACTTCGAGCTTGCTCATGATTACGCGTTTGACCATCAGGGGCGACCGTTTGCTGTTAACTAAGTTCTTCGATTATTCTTCGTGTTTTAAATAGGCATCCAGAGAGAAGGAGATGATAAGAGTGTTTATTATTGGGTTTTTTCTCGGAACGCAAAATCGCGCAAACATTATAATCAAAGTTAGGAAGGTCATTTCGTATATTAACAATCAGACTTGCGTATATAAATCGTTCATACTTTACTTTAGTATGAAAATGAATTCGCATTAACCGCATACAAACAGTTTTAAATGGAAGAATAAATTCAAGTTCTGGGCAACTCACAGGGTATAAGCTTGCTTTTGGGTATCGTTCATTCGATCTTACAAGTTGCAGAACTCTTTCAAGTTTGGTAAAAGCAATTGCAGAAGGCAACAACCAAAGTTGCAATGGCAGCATCAAGATGTCGTTGCTGTCGTCATCGTTGTCTGTTGCGTCACGTAAGAGGGCCAAGAAGGGGCAAAGGGGGCCGAGAAGGGGGTCGGAGAAAGCAGGGAGGAGCATTGAAAGTCAAATCTACACAATGGCTTCAAAATGTGTGCTTAAACATTTTATTTATCACGCCAAATGCATGCATATGTGAGCAGGAAATGGGGAACGTGTGCGAGAGGGAAAAATATGCGAACTTTCTGCATCACGTTGCGGGTATTCAATGATTTTTCAAACACTTTTCCCTGCTTTCCCCCCTCGCATTTATCGCAATTGTCTGCATTTCACACTGCTTTTTTTGTATTTTGGAAAACGAACGTTGCTCTTTCCTATCTGTAGACACTTTTCTTTGGCTAAGCTGAAATTTTAAGTTGGAGTCAAGTTCTGAAAGGGGTTTGTCGGTATCTCTTAATGCTCCGATAATACTTTCTCCAACTTTTACTCTTCGGCTAAGTGAGACATCATATGAAGACATCAAGTATCTGCAAAATTATGCTTTTTCGCTTGAAGTTAGAACTTAACTTAAACTTTTGTTATTTTAATTTAGTAAGTCGAAAGCGAAACGGATTAGAAAAATCCCTGATCTGTGGTTATTAGCCATTTAATAAGATTTTTCCAATGACTAAACGATCTTGATTGCCCCAAATGAATCCTTTAAGACCACCATTTAACAGTAAAATCTTTTCAGAACTATTAAAGTCCAAAGTAATTCGTTTCTTTTAATTTCCCTTGGACTTCCATTGGCAGATCCTGACTTTTAAGATTACGAGCTGTGAAAATCTCAACTAAAATGGAAAGCTGAAAAATGAAATTAAGTGCAGCGAACCATTAAACGGCCCATAATCATTGATCTTTTAATCAATTTGGGCGGCCAATAAAACAGCGCAGAAAGCAAAATGGGCCAAAAGTCATAAAACACTGTCTGTAAATGTATACCTACAGAAAGTTCACCTTCCGCTGTGCGATTAGGGCAACTTTTAAATGGTTTTAATGTGCTTTTTATGGTCAGAAACCCAGATCCCATTTTAACCTTCACGGCATATGAGTAATGAGAGTTTTAGTGGGCGGGCCCGGTCTTTGCATTGATTTTTCGCTTTTCCATTTTCCGTTTTCCCCTTAAAAGTCTACCCTAATTACAAGAGCTGGCTGTACAGCTGCTTTTGGCCTGTCACAAGATTAGAGGAGGGCAAAGTTTCCATTTCTCTGGTTTTTTCTTTTCGGTGAAAACTTCCTTTACTCTGGAGGCTGTGTTATGACATTGTAAGCGTCCGATAAGCAAATGTCACAGAGAGGGCGTCCAGGACGCGGTCAGAAAAGGGGTCAGGGATAGGGTCAAAGTTGCAGTCGCCTTCTGCCATTTGTCATTTAAATTTCTGTGAAAGGACAAGGAAAATAAAAATGGTTGTTCGACCAAAAGAGAGGGAGGAGCCACACTGGTAAAAACTAGTTAGGCAAGAAAAAAATATTGGGCTGTTTACTAGAGTAGAATATTTCCTTTTATGGCATAACTCAAATAACTCCTTTTCACAAACCTTTAAGTGCTGATTTTAGCAAAATCTTTCTCCGAGTGCATCCAAATTTGCATCTCTTTCTGTAACTTCAGCAAGGCCCCTGCAACCTTTCCTTCAGTTTGGGTTTTATCTTCGGGACTGGCTTCAGCTCCTCGAAACGAATAAAAAAAGTTGAAGTGAAAAAGTTAAGCAATTAACAAGCTGATAACTTTTTCGGCCGACTTGCAGCTTTTCGCTTTTCTCGTCTCATCTCAGTTTTGGCCCAAAATTACCCTTGACTTTTCAGCCGTACACCCTCCAAATATGTACCCTCCCTATTTTCATGACTTTTCATTTACTGTTTGCATACAATTCGGAGTCACTTTCGAGGTCAATCCCAGTGCCTGGGGGCCCCGTTCGCTCCTATGCTAACCCCTGAGGGTTAAGAGTTTTACGAGCCAAGGGTCTGCGACTTTGGCGTAAAAGCGGCATATCCAGCGTATCCGGCTTTTATGTGCTCATACGGCGTAATTGTGGTCCCGTAATTGGTCTGACAATTGCCTCGAATACCGCTGCCCGCTTAAGTAGGATGTCAGACTTCCTATTGTTCGCGTTTATAAATACGACTGTATGCGAAAAGATATAGCCTTATCGGGCATTGTGCAGCGAGATGTCAGACAATGAACGTGCAAATGGTTCTGCAGATATTAAAAAGAGAAATTAAGGCAAATGCTTCTAAGCAGGCGAAATTCCACCATTTCTTTACCATAAATTTATTAGTATTACAAACCTCTAAACCTATTTAGCACCTTCGTTCTAACATTTCTCCTCAAAATCAAGAGTTTCCTGAAGAGATATCTGCTGCTCTGTCGTCTTAGACAGCCTCTCTTAAATGGGATTCCCCTATGATTTCTACTTCGCTTCTTAAGATAGAAAATGGATCCCGGAAGTAGAATCTAAAATGATTCATTTGCCTAAATACATACATATAAAGTAAAAAAGGCTCAAAAAAAAGTTGTTTTCCCTTAAAGAAGTTAAGTCCGTTAAATACCCAATCGACTGCCAACCCCTTTTTCGGAGGAACATTTCTGGGGGAATACACAAGCCATTTGACACATTCGCCCAGCTAATGCTAATGCACAATTCTCGGGAGTTTATAAACCAGATTTAAAGAACCAGAACGACAAGATAGCTAAGGAGCCAGTGGCAAAAAGATGGCCATCTTTATGCTGGGCCAAAAACTGACAGAAATAAAGTGAAGTTGGTCATAAATTTGCTTTTACGCCAAGATGACTTCATAAAGCGACAAATACGCAAAGCATAATGCCGAGTGCAGCCAACCCAAAAGTGGGGATAAGGAGGGGCTGGATGGATGGGTGCTGGGGCATTATACTACTATATAGGAATATGCTGGATGAGTAGGGGCGCAAAGAGGCGCCGCAATGCAGGCAACAAAAACTGTTGTGTTTTGTGTCTGGCTTGGCATTGTTGCAGAGAATGGGTGCAAAATGGGGGGCGGTGGAAATCAGGGTGCAAACGCCTGTCGCCGTTCCCAGACGCTGCTGATTTATAAGCATGGCTCAGACTCTACCAAAGAAAGGCGTTCATTGAAAAAAACATTCTTTATTTGTTGTTCTATATCGACTTTTCAGACTTAAAATATAAGGACCCATTATCAGGTGTCTCAAGCTTCTCTATAGGTTCTAAAGAATTCATTACCATAATGTTGTTCTTTTCGATTCTATAGTTAAAATTTACGGTTAACCGTTTCAATCATCATAAAACTGTGAAACCTAAGCAGTGGTGTAGTTTTAGACACCTTTTAAGAAGATTTAAGATCTTACTTTCAGAGCATGCATTTCGTTTCAGTGCACTGTGAGGCTGGGATATATGGAACCCAGCAGATAGGAGATATGCAGGCTGGGGCTTGAAGCTGAAGCCGAAAGCTGAGGTGCTGCCACGCGCATTTTTTCGATTTTGCATTGCATACTTTTTGGATGAACGCGTCGCTGCTTGGCTTCGGGGAGAGTTGTGAAAGCGGAGGGAAAGGAGGCCGAAAGAGCAGGGAACGTCTCGATTTTTACTTTGAACACAAATATTGAACGTTTACATTACTCCTTCTTCCCCTCCTTGACTGACCCCCTTTTAGCCCCTTCCCCCCCACGAATGCTACGCATGAAAGCGTTGCAAGTCAGCAACGAAGAGAAATGGCCAAAACGAGCAAAGCACAACGAAAATGGCAAGCAGCGGCAACAAAAATAATAAAAAACTGGAGTAAGGGAGCCACCCAAAAGATAGCAATGCACCAAAAGAAAAGGGTGTCGTTATTTTTCATGAATCCATCGAGCCTGTGTAAGTTGCCTACATTGAGGGAGCATAAAAAACTGAATAAAAAAGAATAAGAATATAAATATAATATATAATAAAAGTAAGATTAGTTCTATTTCATTCGCAGTTTCTGCAAGTGTAAGACTGGAGTGCGGAAAGCGAGAACGGAATTGCACGGAGAAACGGGATAGGAAGAGGGAAAGAGAAAAGGACAGGAACAGGGACAGCGAGAGAGACAGAAACAGAGGAGCTTACAAGCGCATTTCGATTATTGTTGATGTAATCATAATTTTTCATTTCCAAAGTAAACGATACCAGGCCACGCCCTTCCCCCTTCCCTACGCCCTTTTACCACTCCCTTGTTCAACCCATAAAGAATCGACGAGAATTAAACGAACTTTTCATTTATTTACACGAAAATCATGAGAAACGCGTTTAAAACGCGCACCGCGTCGATGATTTAAGTAAACAAACAGCAGGCGAAATTCGAATGGTGTACTAGAACGAAGATGGAAATACTCTAAGATTATGAATGTAAGTAAAGTTACAATATCTTATCGAGAGTAATGTTAGTAACACGAAAGTATAATTTTTAAATGATAGTATTACTCTAATAGCAACAGTCTTTTAAACCAAAATTAGAGTTTGAGGTCTTTCGGTTTGGACTCCCTTTTAAAAACGTTGAAAAGTATGCTTCGTTTATAGTTTTTCTTAATGCCCTACTGTATGCAGTAGGATACCGTTCTATAGGGTAGAATAAAACTCACAGCCCGAGGAGGCGGATGCCACACAGTGGGCGGGGCAGGATGACAAGGCCAGGCAGAGATTTTCGGTTTGGATCCGACTGCGGTCACAGGGGAGGATTTTGTGGGGGATCCGGGTGTGAAAGAGGAAGAACTGCCGGCTGTCTTGCATCATTAATTACAATTTGAGCTGCACACGCAGAGCGGAGACTCGCGATTCGAGGGAATTCACAGCTGAAAGGGGAAGAAAATATCGAGACAAGCTGCGAATAAAAAAGGCCAGTAAGAGCGATACATAACCCAACCCAGGACATTTTGCCCGGGAGCCTACCATCCACAAATATATTGGGCACACATACACAGGCATATCTCCGACACTCTGTGGCTGCGCTGACATTTTAATTGCACTGCATGACTCCCGTAATTCGCTTAATTAATCAACATTTTTGTGCTTATCAATATCGGAAAGAGTTTTTAAAGGTTTCCGTTGAGAAATCGTTGTGAATATTTGCCCGACCAATCCAATATTAGTCTTATATTTTTAAAGAAATAAATAGAAAATTACTCGCTTGGTAAGTTTTTCCTTGTTCTTTCCACTTTTTCTTAAAATCCAATCCTACCACAATCTCTTCAGAGAAAAAATAGTAACTGGAAATAAAAGCAGAAAATTATCGAACATTTAAGTTTTAAAATATTAAAGTATTATGTTAAAGAAATCCAGTTTTTTAATAGCTTCATAGTTTCTCAAGCAGCTAAAAAGAATAACTTAAGGTTATTCAAAGAGAAAAACAATGTTATATGGCTCACATGGCGTATGAGTATTGTTCCGAATTCTTAATATCCCTTTAAGAAAGTTTGCACTAAGCTTATAATTTTAGGCCATTGTGATGGTGCTGCTTAGCTAAATGCGTAAACTAGCATCGTTGCCCACATCAGCTGAGCCATAAAATCCGCACACAAAGGCATTTGCGGATTGCATGTGGGTCAAAGTTGGGATGGCGAAGGAGTTGGAACGCAGGTAGCGCGGGTCGGTAATTTTGCAGTAATTGAATCCCTCAAAGCACTCAAAGTGCGAGTGTGAGAGGGACAGCCAATTAGAGGCACTGCGATAATATTAATGTGAAGGCGGTCAGCATTGCTGAGGTCTCGGCCTTATCGCAAATGCGGCGAATATTATCTGCGATAATGAGAAAACTAATTGTGAGCTATGCAAATGTGGCAGCTCCAGATGCACCTGTCCATGTGTGTGTGTGTGCCCGGAATTACCAACACTGCTCGAGTGTGAAAGCAATTAGATTTGATAGGTTATCGGGTTCATTTGAATAAACGGAAATTGCACCCACATGAAATGCTAAAGAGCTTCTGGTCTATCAAAAAATATCATGCAAATTGAAATTCAAATCTTCTTCTTTTATAAGTAATTCTTTTAAAAAATATATGCACGAAGATTTTAAGTCTTTGTTCTGAAATCACTTACAAGAATTGTGTTATTAAGAAGAAAGGTCTTTCTGAATGAATCTTTCGGACTAGAATATACAAAATAAATAGAGATTTCAATCACATTATAATATCAACTAATATAATATATCAACTATTATCGTTTAATTAGCACTGCAAACTCTTTCGAGACACGATTGTAAGTTGAGAGCCAGTGAGTTTTCATCAATTTTGCAAACGCCGGCGGATTCTTCTCGTGTTGCCAAAATAGGTTGATGAGAAGGTTGCAACTTGAACTCTTAATTGCCCTGTCAGCGGTGTCGATCTCGTCTCTAAGCCGTCGCCCGTCTCATTTCCACACATCCACTACATCTCTTTCAGTTCCTACACTTTCATTAAAAATGTCCCGAAGTATTGACAAAAATCCTAAAACCCAGAGGAACTTAAAATCAGTGATAAGGGAAAACACATCTTTCTAAAGGGAATACAAATGCGAAAAAATATTAAATATAAACTAGTTACAGGAATTTTTCCTTTTTTCCCAGGTGTATATTCTCAAATTGCATTTGTGTTGGCAACTCAGTTTGAGTTTTCGTGTCAGCTGATTTAGCTCCACCTGAAACTTAAAGATGCCGCACTTTCTCCTCAACTGCCGCCAAACTCTCTCCAATTTGAATTTCAAATTGTTGCCTGTTGTTCTCGTTGCTGTTGGGTAAAGGTGTTGAGAATAAAAATGAATTCTGGCGAATTTGGAGACCTCCATCCGACGACTGGGAAATGCAGGTAACTAACAGGTGAGTGGGAAAAGCGTGGAATTGTCATCAACTGACAGCATATTGGGGTACTTGTGTCAATGATAAGCAATTCATTTGAAATTAAAGTTGGTTTCTGTTTAAAGCTTTGATATGGTGTTGGAATTTGACGACCTTTTGTATCAATCACATGCCTAAAAACAATTAATATAATAATTACTTAATGGAACAAAATTGCATATTTGATATACTTAATCACGTTCAACAACCAACTAACTTTTCAATCCAATATAATCTTAAAAACTTTAAACTGTTGTTCCACAATTTAGTCACGTAATTTGCTTTCTCTTGTGTTACTTTCTTTCTGGCGCCCACAAATGCAACTGAAACCGCAATTTTGATTACCAGATCTAATCAAAACTGCAACCAAAAGGGAAGGTGAAAATCCTCTTAATGCCATGGTTTTCCTGAATTCTCCAGCTTGACCTTTTGTTAGATTGCACTTTGGTACTTTTCCATCTGCTTTTAATCGAACCTTCTTCTTCCAGCCTCTCAGTTTTGGCAGCTCACAACATAAGCTCTATCTGGCACTCTCTCCGTTCCCATCTCCCTCGTTCGCAGCAGAACCGTTACTTGTGTAATTTGCAGTTCAATTACCTCGCTAATATGAGATGTCGATATGTTCGCACTCCTCCCTGTCTTTCCTTAAGCTAGCACATCTATATGGGGAGATATCCCCTTCCCCACCGCTTGTAACTCGAATTCGTTAATTATTTTGACAGTCGACCATGTTGACAGCCGCAAAAGTGAACCACATGAGCGAAATGCGTAGAGAAAGGGAACTTGATTTTCTATTTCAGAAAGGGGAAGAGGGAATACTCTAGATAAAATATATATAAGAGTATGTGCCATTTTAAAGTCACATCAAAAATGTTCGAATTAAAACATTATCCCATTATTTATTTCATAATTTCAAATCTGTTCCTTTTTTTAAACAAATTCAAATTGGTGCCCTTTCGGTACGACTCTCTTGAGTGAGAGTAAGCTCGTCAATATGGAGACACCAGAGGTAACGACTTGAGAGGTCCTGTTGTGGCCACATGAAACTTGCATGAGGCCGTCTGTTGTCCTCCCATTCCGTAATTCGTGTGGCAGCCACAGCCATTTCGGCCAACCACTGATTATGCCACATCTGAAATGGACATGTCAAATTAGGGGGAAGTATAGGCAAGACCAGATACATACGTTGATCAAATATCCCGAACTTTAACTTCCCAGCCTCTTTACTTGCGACTTAAGCAAAGTCAAGTTTAAACTTCTTAAAACTTGGCCACTTCTTATATTAAATTAATACTAAATGTAGGTAATATATGGCATAACTCTGCTAAATCGTTAAAGAAAATTGAATTTTCTTAATGAAGAACTTTTTGACTTACATATCAAGAATACAAATATTACGCCAAGGAAGTGACTATTTTCAGTTTTTTCAGAATTATGGTTATTTAATTAACTTGCTTAAAAATATCTACAAAGATCGAGGGTGTTTATATGTGGACCCTGCCATTGGGGGCCTCAGCAGCAGTTCCCAGAACAGCCAACCGAGGACGATGCCGTAGGCCAGCCAACCGAGAAGCAGCCGCCGATGCCGCCACTAAATGATGGAGATTTCATTGACATCCTGCTTATGCTCGTTGTTGTGGCTATTGGCGATAAAGTCCCGCCGCAAGGAGTTCCAATTCGGGTCGGGGTGGTCCTTAAGGAGGCTCCAGTTGGGCGAGGGCACATCCGGCGAAAGCCAATTGAAGTCAGCCACATCAGTATAATTATTCTGGGACTTATTGAGTCCTGAAGCTAGATAGTCTGCCTCCAACTCCGGATAATCGTAGTTGAACTCGCCGATCTCAATTCCCTTGCAGTCCTCGATGATTGCGCGACAGGTGACATGCAGATATATTCGGATGGACCTAGAAGAATGCAATCGCAGCTGCTGACAAGCTATGGAAAGGGTGCAGTCATCCAGGTTCTCGGCGAAGAAGGATCGTGCGATGGGTCCACATAGCAAAGTGCATTTAGAGGCCCGGGAAACCTGCACAGAACCCGGATGACCAAGTAGTTCCACCAAACAGTGGCTGACATTCGAAATTGTGATATCCTGACCATTTACTTTACTGGATTCCAAGACAATATGTTCATTTTTTCGATTCGCAATGGTCCAGCTAAAGTTGGAGCCTACTTTTTCCGGGAGTTTATTCAATTTCGCATCGACCGCGTCCTTATGTGCAGTTGTTTTTTGCTTCGTCGCTGTCTTTTTGCCACTGAACCCAAATTTCTTTTTGGGCATCAGGCGTTGGCGGGTTTCGTCGCTGGCGGATGTTAGAGTATTCAGAATATTCTGACACGATTTGATCTTAAAATCGGAGAGGAACATGGTGGAAGCTGTGAGATATCGCTGCATGTCCTGTATCTCCAAAGTTATATCCGTGAATCTCCTCGCCAAGTCGGTGGGCGTGGCATCGTCGCATTGAATATTTTTCAAGCGCTGCTCTATATCAATGGTTCTTTGGCCGAAAGTCTGGGAAAAGTAGTCAACGCCCTCGTTTTGTACAGATTCCTTGGATTTTTGTTCGGATTTCACATCCAAGTAGTTTTGTCTGTCCTTGTTCCTCTTGTTCAGCCGCTCGAGGACCTGGTCCTTACGATTTTCCGAATCGCCGTCCATGTTTTGGCCTGTCAATCGTTAAAGAAAATCTGGTTAAAAATCAATTTCAAGAGGAAAACCAATTTTTTGGTTCTATGAATCACAGATGTTGTTGTTTTACTTGGCAAGTTGCGCAGCTGCAAGAAAATTCGCCGGAAATGCGATTTCTCCACTTGTATATACCTTTCCCTTGATGATTTATGTATCCCTTTATCAAAATCCTCTCAGTGTCCCTTTGTTTATTAACTGTTTAAATTTATATTATATTTATTTTGTGCAGCTGCTCACAATAACAAATGTTGTTTTACCAACGTGAATGGCAATAATAAAAATACTTATACTAAAAAATACCAAAAGCTTATTCAGCGCTCTGGCAACACCAGAGAAATTGGCGACGGCGGAAAGAAGAAGCATGTCTGCGCCAAATTCAAATTCAAATTTGGAATTCAATCGAATTATAATTGTTTATTTCTATCAAAATAACAGTGAAACCGTTCCAAAAATAAAACTCAATTTTTCCTGCTCTCTTTCATTCTTTATTTTCAATCAAAACTACAGGCAAACATTTTTAAGAAGCGGTCAATTTAAGGTGGCGGTGTGTGTTGGGTGTGGTTGTATTGCTTAATTGGCTTACAACTATCCAGGTGAACATATGTACAATTGAATTTAGTTAAATACATAAACGTAGTATGTAAAGTTATATATGTATAAGGTTAGGTGTGTGCTTGATGTGTGCCCTATTGCGTGCAAATGTCCTAAAAAGCATTTGTACTTCTAATTTGCATTCTTCGTTAGCAACATTTCAACACTTAAGTACTAGAAAAATATTAAAGACATCTTTAATCCGCTCAGATTTTTGGTTGATCTTAGTTACTCGTTTGGATTTCTGTTTCCTTTGCATCCTGCTTCCTGATTCGGTTTTCGCTTCCGCTTCTCCTTTAAGGCACATGACACATTCCTGAATATGATGTGCGTTTTCATAGCAGTAAATATTAGATATAACACGTTAAAACTATTGACTACACAAAGATTTGAAATTCACTCGCAAGTTTGCGTTGGAATTTGTGCTCCATATTGTTTGGGGAATATCTTCGTGGGACGAACAAATTCCAATTCTACAATGCATATGACCAGCAAATGACTAAAAATTCCACCACGACCCGAAGATCGCGGCCAACAGAAAATCGTACACCAAATAAAAGTTAATTTCTCGGAAATGTTTTCGCGCATCTTCATATATAGATCGTAAGATCCTCCTTATATAGATCATGAGAGCTCTCCAATGGGAGCATTCTGCAGCCACAGATCATGTATGAAGTTGTATAGGTTATCGCTGACGGCCACCTATGAATGATTTGAGGAAAGATTTTACTGTCTTTAATATGAAAGTCAATATTCTGAACTCACTTTGTAGGGCGTGGGGTTGAGCGTGCGCTTGTGATCATTGCGCAGCGTCTTCAGTGAGATTTGTACCTTCTCCCGAACCTGCTCCAAAGTTGGCAACTGCTGGCAGATCTTGCCCGACTTCCAGTACACCTTGTACAGCGATTCCACATGCGAGGGTATTACATAGGCGCGTTTCGACTCCTGGAAGGGATGGCGGCACAGGACCTTCTGACCCACCGCTGGCGGTGGCTCCGACACCTTCTGGAGCAGGTCAATCAACGCGTGGCCATCGGCGCTATACAGCCGGTAGGCATTCTTGTTGCCCGGCATAGTCACCTTCTCCACGTCCTGGCTCAGCTTGATCCTCGGCTGGCCGTTAATCTCTACCAGCTTGTACACACATCCAAGGGCGGGCTGTCGCTGGCAGGTAACTGGAAAGTCAATGCAATTAGTCCGGAGTTAGCATATGATATAGTTCACACAGACTCACCCAAATGCGTGCCAATGCCAAAGCAGTCAATCTTGTGTCCCTGCTCATTCAGGCTCAGGATTGTGTCCTCATTGATGTCGTTCGATGCCACAATGGTCAGCTTGTTGAACCATGGGACCTTGAACCGCTCCGCCACCTTCTCGAAGGTTTCTCTAGCCAGGCAGGAAAGGTAGGCTAGATCCCCAGAGTCGATCCTAATGCCCAGAGCATGGTAACCCAGGTCATTCAGGGCCAAGGCCACGGCACTGAAATTCAGCAGGCCGCTCCTACAGAAAACAAAGCAAAGTAAAATATTCAGTTATCAAGATTTCGGCCACCATCAAGTGCTGCTTGGTTTTTGGTTTTCAATTCAACAAAATAGCTCTCTCATATTTGCTATACAATATTTTTGGTTTTGCCTCTAATTTCAAAGCGAGAGTTACACAAAAAACAAATGTTTCGAAAGTGGGGTGGAGCTAAAAAACGTGTTTGAGAACCCAAAGTGGTTCTTTTCGATTGCAGGTGCGGCTCTTGGTGTCGGAAAATTCAGCCGATAAAACGCAATTTTCTTATTGGGGAGCAGCACAAAATGTCGAAGATTTTCGGTTTTTGTTTTCAAGCCATGCAGTGTGCTCTCTCGGACGTTTTTTTTTAAACTATGTACAGGTTATATAATACTAACGAAAACATATTTTGGAAAATATCCAAGTTGGTTGGAGAAAATATTTAACAATACGAACTGGGGACGGAAAACAAGAAAATCGAAGTCCGAAAAAATGTTATAGAACTCAAAACTGTGAACTGGGGACGAGGACAAAAGAACGGGGTTAAGTCTATGACGGTATTAGGGTGAGTCAGTGCGGTTTTGTTTGGGTTTTGGTTTAATTTGTGTGCTTAAAACAATGTTCATAAATCGGAACATACAGAAATGTTTTTAAAGATATTTTACTTTACAGTTTCACTTTAAAGAAAATTCATAAACTCTGATCTGACTTCTTAACATTAATCAATTAGTAAAAAAAACTTTAATGTTGACCATTTTCGTTAACTTTTGTTTTATGCACCTCGATGAGAGTGAACTTTAGATCGTTTATCTGTTGCTGTAATTGTTTCTTTTCGAGTGGGTGAGTAGATGCCGTATGATATTATAGTGTTGTTTCTTGTTTCATGTTGGCTGACTGTTGGAATTGTTGGGTTGTTGTAACAAGAAAACGTGTGTTTACATACCTCTGCCAAAATAGTGCCGGAAGTCATTTGTTTACTATGTTAGGCTCGTAATTCTAATCGTTTTCGATATTTTTATGGGGATCTGATTCGGGTTCGATTAATGATTTCGTTTTATTTGTTTCACATTCACATTTAGGACGAGAAAATAAAAAGCATAATAAACGAAATTCAGTTAGAAAAATAATGCTACGGAAAATGTCAAATGATAGCTTAGCGTGTTAGTATAAACTGTGAGACCAAAAAAAATCAACATAAAAAGTTAAGAAAGCAAAGGGGGAAGGCAAGAATAAGAATTTGAAAAAATTAAATAAATTAACTTCACCTGTTCTGGTTGGGTTTCTGTGATTTAAAATTTTGCCACAATTATTCCCTGTTAATGGCGAATGACTTGGGGACCAATTTCGTAACACCAAAGCGGGGGACATATACATAGACATATAGTCATATATCAGCTTAAATATATATATGTATATGATGAATATAATTTTGAATTTAGTTGCTAGTTTGTAGTTAATATATTTCCATGTTAACATGCAAGCTTACGTTAAGAAAATTAGGAAAATTAGAGCTCTTAATGACTTACTAAAAGGAGGGCTAGCAACGCTTTGCTTAAAAATGAAACTAAATGAAATAAATTGAGTTCTTGCCAGCCCTAGTTAGTAATATTTGATGATGGGTTAAATAGACAAGGAAGTTGGACTGAAAGCTTTGATAAAGCAGAAGAAAAATGCTGTTAGAATGCATAAATGATTAAGAAGACGATGATGTAAGTTGAGATGACAATGGAAAGATAGAGGAAAAGTCTTTTAAGTTTAATTTTCGCCTATTTTAAATTTTTTCTTTTCTATTACTCATTGTTTGGGCTTTTTTCGATTACGACATTTACCTGAATGACTTCTCGACATATTTTGGAAGGTATGCAGTCCCATTGAACACTGTTGTTGTCTTTGGAGTTGCTGTTGCAGTTGCAGTTGTCGCAGTTGTTGTGCTGGTTTTAGTTTCATGTATCTTTGTATCTTTTGGCTTGGGCGACATACTGCCGTTCTGAGCAACACCATTCTGATGGCCATTGGTCTTGTGGCCATTCGTTTGGCCATTACTCTGGCCATTCTGGTGGCTATTGGTCGATGGCTTTGCTTTTGGCGGACTGTTATCATTGATAAGCTTGGGTTCTGTGTGGCCTTGCTCTGTTTCTCGGCTGTTGGATAATACTTTGGATTATTACTCAAACGAAAAACCAAAAAGAAAAGCTCACGGTCGGGAATGATCGGGGGTATGGCAGACATTTTTTCTATGTAAAAAGTTGACTTGATTGACTGTTTAATAGTTACTCTTGTTGGGTATTTTATCTGTTTATCTGGCTGGTGCACGTCTCGAGTGTCTCAAATACAATATAAAAAGATCAAAGAAACCCATACTCAAAAATAACAGGGGTAAAAAGGGGGCAACGAGGAGAGTTACAGAATAACAACACAAACTAAGGATAAACCGAAAACTAAAACCGTTCCGAGAGAATCTGCCTAGAAGCAAAATACCTCTTAACATCGTACGTATCGACAAGGGCCATGAATCCATCAGGGAATGCGATGGCATATGACACCATCGCCGCCAGCTCTCCCTCGCTGGATTCCTCAGTGGATACGTCTAAGAGATGGGACAACATCGCGCGGTGCCTAACGGCGTGCTCCAGAAGATCCTCCATGATGCCTGCAATGTATCAGATTAGCAAGATGGTTTCTCCTTTCTCTTATCAATGTATTATCACCTGTTTGCTTGTGCTTGATTAGACGGGTCTTGAGCTCTCCAATGCTACTGAAACTGGTAATGTATGCATGGGCATGGGTTCCTTTAACGGGGATGTTGAAGAGCTTTCCGGCCAGCACGTTGGAGGTGCCATCGAAGCCACCTAAGAAGTACAGAAATACGTATTATATACATGATGGGAAGGTATTTAAAATGTAGGGGGACGGGATCCAATTATTACCGAGAACCAACCGTACTTATAACCTTTAAAACTTTTAAATACCCCTTAATGGTGCTATGTCATTATATTCTCTGTAAAGAGCGGAAATTCCAACGTTAAGCATTTCAATTTTGTGGCCTTTTCCTTCAGTTATTCAGGCAGCCGAAAAAAGAGGCCTTGGCAGGAACCTTGGCGGTAACCGGACGGCGTGAGTCACGCGCACGCGAAGCCATCCATTGATTTGATTCTATATGGGGGATATATCCCAAAACCCAACTACAGCGTGGAACGCATTAAAAACTTTAGGCGCCGCTTGCCAAACAAGCGGCGGAAAAACAAGGAAAAGTTACGATGTGTGAGCGCCAATTGAAAGGCTCCGCAGCAGATGTTCCTGGGTTCGAACTGGTATTCGATGGGTGCCTGGCACCGATATTCCATATACATGGACACCCTCGTGGGCGTTGCGTGTGCCACCCACTTTGCGGATTTTACTGCTTTCGGGCGCATTTAGTTTAACACATAAACAAGAGTTCTTGAACTTTGTCGCAAGAGGGAGAGGAAGTAGGAGATGGCGGAGCCAGAAGTGGAGGAGAAACGGAAGTCTTGATGAAGGCGGAGAATTACTCATGGTTCGGGGGAGGGCCTTGAGAAATGGGCAAATCGGAAATCAGAGTCAGCCAAGCCTCAGCTCCTGACAGTGACACGTGCTTTGCATGCATGCACATCATAAAAGTCAGCCAGAAAGCAATATGAAAATCCCCGACTCCCCCTTCATGCTGCTTCCCCCTTGAAGCGATCAATGCATGTAGGTGGTGTACAGGCTATTGAGATACCCTGTGAAATAAAGTTGTTAGTAAGTCTATCTTCTGGATCCGAGTAGTCATGAACTGAATTACACCCCTGGAAAACAAGCATAAGCAGGGGATGCGCGAGTCTTTAGAATAAAAGATCTTAAACGAATATGAGGTACTATGAGCTTAAAATTTCAACCCTAAAGCTTCATCTTGCGTTATACTAACATCGTAATACCAAGACCTCTTGGCCCATAAACTCCTACCGAAAGAATGATGAAAGACTCTCAAAAAGAAAGGTGACTGGGCCTAAACTTTCCACGATTCCTGACGATTTCCATTCCCCTATTATTTTTAATTGATAATGAGATGTCAGCATGCAATTTGGCAATGCCGAAAAAATGTTTATATCGCACACGGTTGACCTTACTTGTCACGGCTCTACAGAACTCCATGGGATTCGGATTCAGGTTCATATTCAGAGTTTGGGGCGTGTGAAAGTTAATATTTTATGGTGGTGCTCAGTACCTGTGTAAGAATATTTCGATGCGGATAGACCGCCATCTGGTCCCTGAGCACGACGCAGTCCAAATTCCAATAGCTTGACATGTTTGCCAGCTACCATGCGATAGCGGGCTGCATTGGTGGCCATTAAGCTGCATTTGGGTGGCAAGAAGAGGTGGTATTAGGAAGGTTCTAGGTAAATGAATGCTATTCTTACCTGGCATAGTTCACCAAGGTGAGAAGAGTCGTCTCCAGCAGCTGGACGATGATCAAAGGTCCCTCAATCTTAATGATGGGAACTCTGAAAATAGAAACATGTTTTATTGACTTTATGAGCTTCGATAAGGTATCTTTACTTTAGAATTCTTTTTCAGAATGCAAGGTTATCTTAGCCCATATACATTTATATTAAGATAGCATGTTTGCCTCTCTTTAACTTAATTTGAATTATCATGAAATATCTCGAGACTTGATAGCTGCAATGCAGCCTACATATAATAACCATATAGTAATTGTGGGATATAGTATTTGGTGACTTTGTTTATGCTTACTCTAAAATGATAGTCAAGAATTAAATACACATTTTAAATTGTACTAATCACATTTTAAAAGCACAAAATATTACTATCTTAACTTTGTAATAGCTATTAAACTTTAGTTAAGCGCAAGTTTTAAGCATTCGCTATGGTTATATAAAATAATGCGCAGTTCATGAACTGCGAAAGCTAAACTCATGTCGAAAGAACTTTTAGTTCCAGTTTCTCAGCCAGATATTCTATTGATGCCATGCAAACCCACCGTGGAAAGGCTACTGTGCCCTCATCAATGGCATACAAGGTGACATCCCGCGCCGTCAGATTGCCGAGGTACTCAAAAAACTCGTGCTCGATGCCCTCGGGCAGTGTTTGCTTCAGGTATTCGATATCTGAAAGGCGCCCAATCAAGTTGATTAACTTATTTGAATCAAAATAAACATATTGTAAGCACTCACCGCTTTGGGAATAGTGGAAGCTATCCAGGAATTTGAGGCACTCCTCGAGCCCGGCGAAAATCGTGAATTCACCGTGGAATGGATTGTTGCGAAAGAACAGATCGAAGACCGCTGTGTCATCGGTCTTATCGGATTTCCAATATGCATAGGCCATAGTTATTTGATACAAATCTGTAATATTGTAGTTATATACATTTATTAGTAGTCGGCATTATTAATATTTGTCAATAAAACAGTAAAACTTCATCAAAGTAAAGTAACAATTCAATATAGTAAACAGATATATAAAACAGTTTAAGCTATGATAAATCCACACAATATAAACTTTATTGTATCACTACTTAGTTCATGACCAACTTAGGTAGGTACCCCTGTACCTGCATAGTAGCAAAAGTGTTGGCCCAGAATGGTGGCAGATAAGATAGTCTGGAAAGTCCATAGCTGATGGTGGCAATTAACGCCACCAAAATGAAAAAACACAAGCCCGCGAATGAAATGCAAATTCTTATCTAAGTGCAAAGACCTAAAGATCGTTTTTTATTTATTTGCGCTCGTGTCTGCCTTGCCTAAAAATATATGCTGGGTATATATAGATGGGAATACTCGTAGAAGCCGACATAGGGATCGCATAGCGCGCCAAAATGTCTCTGCCTAAATGTCAGCCGGTTTTAGAGTTTTAAGAAATAAAAAAAAATACTTCCACATTAAGTCATTTGGGATTTTTTGTTTGAAAATTGTATATTAAAAAACAAATTGTCATAAAGATGAGAGAGTATGTCAAGGATGAGAAACTTGTTCGTACCTCAATACAATCTGTTAATAATTTTCCTTTCTGTAAACTTAAAACTAAAACTGTAAATAAAATAAAACCCTACAATGTTAGTTTTCCTATAAAGGGAATATATTAAGATTAATTATTTAATCCATTATTATATTATTTTTCCCATTAGTAACGTAATAACATAGTCAGCCATCTGTTGGCCATAAATATCTTGGCTAATTACCAGTGAGCAGAGGCTGGACAACTCCATTCTGGTTCATCCGTCCGCGATCCATAAACTGGCCGCCCGCACAGCTCAATTCACGGTCGTTCATTTTGTCGCCGATCTGTGGAATCTCGCTATATATTTATATATATGGCTTTGGGTTTTTGATGAGCCAGTTGGTCCGTAATTCTATTTAGTCCGTTCACACGCGACTCGTTTGCGGGCAATCAACGTGCCAAATAAACAAATTAATTGTTGGCTTATTTATAATCGAGCCAAAGCCGTTGAACTTTTGTTTCTGTTTATCTGTAAAAGGCAGAAAATTGTTTTGCAATTGACGCTGGAGAATCACTTAAATGACGTAAGAACGCGATCTTTCTCGCGCTCGTGTAACAGAAATTTAGAACAAACATGGAAAAATGCAATTTAAGCAATATACTATATACTTTGCACATAACAAAGCTTGAATGAAATGCAAAGACTGTGAAATACCCGGTAATTGGAATTATATGTTTGTTTATATTTCCATTAAGTTGTAAACTACTATCAATAAAAGGCTTTAAACTGTGTTTAACAACTCATCAATAAAGATAACAAGTATTTGAGTTAAGCAATTCATGAGTTATTTCATATCTTCTGAATTACATTTTTACTTTTCCAGCAAAGGGTATTTTAAATAAATCGGAATGAACACTTTTAGGTATCTATTTCACAACCACCGGGTCACAAACTGAAAAACTGAAACGCAAAATAGCCAAAGTTTTGAAATGCTAATGAAATACGTGCTAATTTGCATAGCGTTGAATAAAACCCGATTTTTATGTAGCGAGGGCTAGGTTATCAATTAAACTGACACGATTTCAGGCGCTACTATGATAACGCGTCAAACGTTTTGTTTTCCACTCATATAAGGATCACTTTTAGCGGGCTGAACTTTTCCGTTTAGCTTTTGAAGTTGAAATGAATTTGAAAATCGCAAAAGCAAACGGGTTAAACGACAGAGAGCTAAACTCTCGTAGAGAGAAGTGGCCGAGAGAGAGCAAAAGAGCGAAATGCAGTTTTTGTTTGCTGGGAGAATTTGTTGATTTTTGTTTTTGTGTTGCCATTGGCAGCCGGTTGATTTGGTTTTCCTTTTAGGTTTTATTCGATTCAGTTGTTGTTTCTTTCAGATTATTGGCAAAAAATGTTAGATTACACACAACGTGTTGCTGCATGTTGAAGGTTGCGTGAAGGTCGCGCAACACAGGCGCACGCCACGCACACACACATAAAACGGGTGGAAAATGAGAGAGGGGCGTCAGAGCCATCCCCCTAAAAAGGCAGGGGAGTGGGTGTAGGCGGGAGAATTCTGTATGCACTTTCACTTTTCTTCGCACACTTCAATTCAACTTTTTTAATTGGGCGGCGTTTGACTTTAGCATACTGAAATTTTCATATTTCATCAAGAATCAGCTTGTGTTTTCATATTGGCTTTCTGTTATCACCAACTTATCAACTCATTTATCACATTTATTTACGTTTTTCTTTATTTTTCATCCGCTAACTACACGAAAAAGTAAATTACTTTTAATTCATTCAGAGAACGCTCGCGCACGCTCTTCTTCTTCTACGGCGAACAGCTGATTCCGCTGATATGTCTTGAGCAGTGATGCTGAATCGGTATCGTTCCCGTCACATTCAGCCATTTTAAAGCTAAATCGCGGAACTAGCGGAAGGCCAAATATTCTGGCTTTTTATAAAAATATCCGTTAATAAAAACTCGTTTTATAAAGAAATCATTTCCAGATCGAACAATATTAATAATAAAAATGAAAAGCTGCAGGTTTCATTTTTCAAATATCTCACTTAAGAGTTTATTTCCACAAGTAAAATAATATATATGTATTTTGAGATTATAGCAAGGCCTGTTGGAGTAAACGATCAACAGGTGCATGTCGAAATTCTTGAAAGACCAATCAGTTTTTAGATTTAATAAACAGAAAAGGGTTTTTGATGGTTAATATGTATTTAATAACATTTCACTATGAATTAAAAATACAAGCTTACATACATATACATGGAGTTTAGGTCTATATCTAGAGGAATGCGAAGTATCTCTGAAATTAATTGTCTATAAGTACGGCTAAGGCAGTTAGGGAATGTTGGCGAGATTGTCAATAAATTAGAACAATGTTAGAATGTACTTAAATGGCGATAAAAATCAATACATATGTTGCTGAAACTATCTTAATATAGCACTCGGAAAGCATTTACACAAGTACAGAAATCGAAATAATCAGCAATCGAAATGTTTCAAAATTACTGGATATGTTAATGTACGGAAATATCAGTCGTTACAGTTTTGCTTTTGAACCCTTAACGGAAGTGCTTTCAGGATGGTTGACCTTGATACAAGGCGTTCAGATAAGATTAGGTGCTTATTATCCTTAATATGCTCGATACTACAGTTTGTTTAACTTACTAACTAACCTTCTTGCGTTTTCGTTGTACATTGCAAAATAAAATGGCGTTACTTAAGATCTACTAAGACAGGATGCAACTTTACACAAAATTTACATTTACATTTACGTACTACCGGAAAATCTCTTGATTTTCGAATGGGGGAAATTTCCAGCGATTTTTTGAACGATTAGTTTGACAGTGCTTTGAAGTTTTCTTGCAATGAGTTTTCTCAGGCTTTAGGAACAACTTGACTTTCGTTCAGATTTATGTGGACGCCGAATATTTGTATGAGAATGGCAATTAGGGCCTATTAGACATACTCCTCTGGAGCTGTTGGTCCATTTGATGATGGCATTCGCAGCGTGGATACAACTTGGGCTTGCTGCTGTTGCTGGGATGGCTGCGATCCATTTGTATCAGGAAGTTCCGCGATATCCTTGAAGACACCCATCAGGTTTTCATAGCTAGGGCCCCAGTTAAGCAGATACTCCCATCCCAGAGTGGTAGCCGATGGGGATGCCGCTCCATTGGCCTTCCGGTAGATTCCGCTCAGATGGTTGGCTATATCATCATCGCTGGCCACGAGCGTGCTGAGTGACCCACGAAAAGACGATTCGAATCCGTCGTAGGCATGTGGCGGAATGGGCGGGGTCTTGACCACACTTGTAGGGGGATTCCTGCTGGTCTCGCCTCCGCTGAGGGCTCTGGATACGGGACTACGTCCATCCAGAAGACTCTTGCTGGTGGAGTACTTGCCGTCGCCACTTAGACTATTGTTGTCGTACTCAATCTCTGAGCACGTGAAGCTATCGTTGCCACTTTCGTCAGTGGAGGTGGAGCTATGGGCATCCACATCGCCACCGAGCGACATATGGAGGGCACTACTCGGCACACGAGGGGCCTCACTGCTAGAAGAAACTGCATCCAAGGTGGAGATCAGGCTGCAGGTTCGAGGTCTAGCATTCAACCTCTCAATCTCCTCGGCAGTCAGACCCATGGACGATTGTGGGGTCTGCTGCTGTGGGACTCCGGGCTTTTGCCTACTGGCACTGGAACTTTGACCCGACAGTTGCGACATTACCGGGCTATTTAAGCTGCGTTCACTGTTGCTGTGGACATCCTTGCCAACGCCCCCGGAACTTGAAGTGGTGGCTAGCAGAGCACTTTGTAGGGGTTTTCCGGAAATGTCGTGCAAAGTGAGGATGCGCGGCTGCTGGGAACTCAGCTCCGAACTCGGAGATAGCCTGGCCAACGGAGTGCTCTGATGGGTGCGGGATGCACTGGTTGGCGGAGGAGGTGGTTGGCCACCTTGGTTCCGGGTCACAAACGGAGCAGCATGACGGTGCTGCTGCTGCTGCTGTTGGGAGCCAGAGCTCTGGTGCTTGTGATGCGTATAGGCTGATACCGGTGGAACACTGGCCTTGTACTTGCGCAGACCACCCGCCTCCCGATAGCCCTTATAATGATATACAATATCAATATCGGAGGGTGCTATTGAGCTGGCATTCTCCAGGTCGTAGTGCTCCGGGTACTCGGACCCTAAGTCGACAGAGCCGGCATGATCGATAGGGAGTGGGTGTAGAGGCGGAATTGGCAGGTGGTGATCCTCTCTTATCAACGGACTCTCACGTTCTATGATGTCGGGTCTCTGGGGACGCTGCTGCTGCTGCGGTTGAGGCAACTCCGAGGTGGGCTCCTTAAACTTCTTGGTCAGCAGCTCAGGACCAACTAAGTGATGTCCACCAACTGGCGGTCGCATATGATCGCCTGGTCCAACTGGTGGCGAAGGGGCTTCACTGGGATGAAGGTTCCGAACCAAGACGTGATCCACTTGACTCTGTGGCACAGGGCCGCCAGGGTGCTTAATCTTAAAGCCTGGAACACCGCAACTCAAGCTCCCGATCTTTTCTTGCTTTCCTCGGAATCGGTAGATTACATACGAGCCCAAAATGGCTACTACCAGAATGACAAAGAATACAATGACCAGGGTAATGCCAATGCTTAGAGGATCGGCAACCTGGGCGGCATCTTGACCCATGTCTCCACTGCAACCGGACTCAATCTTGCCGTGATATCGAACCTCCGGAAAGATGCTGCCTGATCCATTCATCGGCTGCAGTTCGTTGTTAACTGTCACATTGGCCAGGCAACCAGCGAAGCCTTCTCCACCCACGTTCAAGGAGGTCAAATAGGGATCCAGGAAGTCGTGCACTCCGGCTATATCGAGTTCATCACCCACTTGTCTTCCATCAATCATCAGCCTCAAGCTTCGACTTTCGCTGAACAAACTCACATTATGCCATTTGCCGTCGTTTAGCATTGAAGGTTCCTGCACCGTCATGTTGATGGAAAGGTGCTGTTTGGAGTAGTATACCAGTCGACCTTCTTGCAGGGACAAGGAGGTGAACATTTGATTGCTGGCCGCATACAGGATCTGTCCTTGATCCTTATAAGTGCGGAACAGCAAGCTCAGCATCTTCGGGGCCTCGTAGATCTGGGAAGCGGTACTGAAGTTCCTAGCTGCTCGACGTTCCCTCAGCTGATTGTTGTCCAACCAGGCACTCTTGCTGTTATATAAATTATCCAGCAGCTGCATACGCCGATATATCTCGGATATCCTGAACTCCACAAAGGCGCCTTCACTTATGGTAATGGGTTCCAGAGAGTCAGAGCAATCAGGAGACTGCAAATGGCCACCACACTCGCAAAGGGAACTGGACCACCTGTCAATGCATTGCCCAGCGAATCCTCCACATCGTTCGGCCGCCAAGGCTGGTTGACAGGCTTGTCGGTTGCATCCTGGCAATATACCCCGCTGTTGGAGCGGGGAGCTCAAGTTCAATGCTCGTCCTCCGATGTGCACACTGTGCAGGCAACCCACGAGATCATCACTGTGAACTTGGCCAGGGCGCTCCAAAATAGGATCAGCTGAGGACAAGCCTCCGATCATCAGAGGCTGTTTGTTGAAGTTGAGAGTTCTGTGAAAGATATATTCCATTGTTAGATATGGCTTACTTTAGAATCAATTCGAAATGTTCTTACCCCACGGGACCCACTTCGTCCGCATAGCAACTGGAGTCTCCGGGCGTGCATTCCGTGCAAACGTCTCCGGACTCCGCGCACTTTGACACGCTCAGTGACATTACGCGACCATTTCGTGTAGCCGTCACCTTGTGCCATCCTCCGTCGGCCAGATTTCTTCCAGCAACCACTGTGCTGATAGCAGTTCGAGCTCCTCCAGATGAGAAATACGCCTTGCCATGCACCAGTTCGATGGCCAGGAAGTCAGATCTACCGCCACTCTGCATTCCGTAATTGTATAGCAACAAGGAGTTAGGTTTCGTGGTTGCGAACACAATGGATATGTCATTGGTGGTGACATCCAGAGCGGGAAAAGTCATGTAGGACAGGGGTTGGAATCCATAGCTGAAGCGTTCACAGTGTCGTCCATATCGTCCCGGAGTGCAGTTGCACTTGTAACCCGGCTTGAGACTTACGCACAATCCACCATGGAGACATGGATTGGGTCGACATGAGTCGGAAACGCTCTCGCACTGATTGCCACGGAATCCTTGACGGCACAGGCAAAAGTACGAGGATCCATCCGGACTACGCTGACAACTTCCTCCGTTGCGACATGGCTTGCTGTAGCAGACATCACTGCGCTCCTTCTCGCAGTACTTTCCGTCCCGATTTGTGGGACACATGCACTGGAAATCGCTACCCAAGCGACGGCATTGGACTTGCAAATGGCAAGGATTTGGCAAGCAAGGATCCTGCCTGCGGCTGCACTGCTCTCCTGAGAAACCACTGGTGCACTGGCAGCTGTAATCATGCACAATCCGAGGTCCACTTAGCACCAATCCAGGACTGTCTAGGATGACAAAGTTATGGGCATCTAGCACTCGAATGGTTGCACTGCAAAGTCCGCCATTTTCACATACATCGGGTTCACTACAAGGTTCATAGCCCACGATAACCTCCTTCTGGAGGAGTTCCGAAAATTCAGACCTCTTCTCCCGCAGGCGTTTAATTAAGTTCTTAGGCTGATGATAACTGCTGTTGGCGGATCTTACTGCCATTAGCACTTGGAGACTAGTGGAGTTGCTGCCACCACTCTCCAGCAGATTGTACAAAAGAACTTCATCCTCATTGCCCATCCTATACCTAATCGTTTCCAGAATTGGTCGATAATGATGAGCTAAGAAGTGGTTAGCTGTCATATTCCTCACCATGATAGCCACTGAATTAGCCAAGGTTTCATTGTTAAAGCTGTGGAAAACCACACTGGCTTTGGAGCTAACATCCCCATGCTTGCCATCGTTACCCGTATAGCTGAGTACAGAAGCTATTGGCGTGGTATGTGAGGTCGTAACCAAGTCACAGGCTCGTGGAATAGCCAGCTGCAACTGACTTTGGCCAGGATTCTTCTGAAGGCGGCAACGATAATCGCCAACAATATCGATATCGTTGGGTCGGACATCGGCCAACTTCACATTCGAGGGCAGATCGCCGTTGAACAAACTCACATATATATGCAAACTCCTTGTGGTCGAAGGATTATCGTTTTGGTCCAAAACCGTGATAGTGAGTAGGTGTTGGGATTTCTGCTTCGGCTTTCCACTGTCCTCCACTTCGATTAGTGCTTCCAGAACGGGGGTCATCTCCCGATCGAAACTGGTTGTGGACCTTACCAGACCCGTGTTCCTATCCACACTAAGCCAGGACTTGTGCTTACCACCTGTCAACTGGTAAGTGAAGGGTCCACCATTTCGCGGTAGATCCGGATCGCTGGCTATTAAGGTCATAATGGAAGTTCCAGGCGGCTCATTCTCAGAGATATATCCATTTAGACCTTCCGCCGTAAAGGTGGGCCCGTTGTCGTTCACATCTTCCAGTTCTATGTGGACCGTGGCACTTCCCGTTTGTGGAGGTAGTCCAGTATCTATAGCTCCGATCACCAAGTTGTATGTGGCAATTTCTTCGCGATCCAGGCGACTTGCTGTACTAATCTCACCCGTCTGCACATCTATCTTAAAGCTCTGCTTCATGTTGCCATTAATGATGGAGTAGCTGAACTGGTTGTTCTGCGGTCGCACATCTTTGTCGACTGCCTTGACCGTTGTGACCTTTGTGCCGATTGGAGCTGCCTCGGATATAGTCGAGGTGTAGTAGTGCTTAATAAACTCCGGAGGATCGTTTCCGTCTTGAATCGAGATGATAACCTGGGCCTCATCCGTGTCATTGCCTCGAATGCTGCCGTAGTTTTTGGCCATCACAGTGAGAACCACGCGGTTTTGAGTCTCCCTGTCCAAGTGCCGGGCTACATAAATCAATCCTGTGTTCGTATCGATTCGGAAGCCCCTGTCGTTGCTGGATCCCACTAATAGGTAGTAAACTCGTCCATCCTCTCCGCTGTCTTTATCTGTGGCCTGAACAGCACCCACTCTGGTGCCCACAGCAGAAGTTTCTGACACATCGAAGTGAAAAACGGGTTGCAGGAACTGTGGGTAGAACTCATTCACACCCAGGACATGTACGTAGAGATTGGCGTAGCTCTCCATGCTGGAATCTGGGTTTTTAGCCTTTATCTGAAGAGAGTAAATGCGTCTCTCCTCGTAATCAAAGGAAACCGCTGACGAAATACTGCCATTGCTTTGGTTCATGATGAAGAAGTGCCTATCCGTCCCGCTGGGCAGGAATGCATAGTGGATAATAGCATTTTTCGGCGAGTCCTTATCCGTGGCATGAGCCTGGAATACAAAAGTACCGACCGGCTTGTTTTCAGGTATATAGCCATGATATTCCTTCTGGTCGAATACAGGTGGATTGTCATTCACATCCGTCAAGATAATGGTAAGCATCGCAACGGCGGACAGTGGTTGGTAGCCAAGATCTTGAACTGTGATATTCAGATGGTACTCCTGTATAAGATCGTAGTCCAGTTGCTGTTGGATCACTATGCCACCAGTGCGTTCGTCCACACTGAAGTCGTGGCGCTCATTTCCGCCGGATATTGCATATCGGAGCATGCCATTTGGCCCGACATCATCGTCGGTGGCACCAACTGTTAGGATGGTGGAACCAACGGGCTCATTTTCTGGCACAATCACCTGGTAGCTGTTCACCGAGAACCTCGGTGTGTCTAGATTCTCTCCGGTTACCACAATAATGACGTGCGTCTCATCTGATTGGGGAGGAACACCTCGATCCGTGGCCCTTACCACCAATTCATACCGAGAGTTGGGCGGTACATGAAGCGGTTTGACCAGAGTGATCCATCCGTCATGTCTACCAATTTTGAAGAACGAACTCAGGTTGGTGGTCACAAGGGAGTAGTCCATTTCGTTGGTGCCCAAATCTTGTTTGTCATTTGCGTGCACGCGAACTATTCGCTGGCCACGAACTGCATCCTCTGGAAGTGGCGCCAGATACTCCTCCTGCTCGAACTTCGGGGGATTGTTGTGGGCATCGACAATGTTGATGTTCACCAGGCATTCGGAGTATAGAGGTGGCTTGCCATTATCCGTTGCCAAAATAGTGAGAGAGTACATGTTTTCCGGGGAGCGGACATACTGAGAGTGTTTAAAGCGAACCGCCTGTTGGGTAATTAAATATTTGGAAATTAAAAGTCTATTTAATATGTACAAAGAAAAATACGAACCTTCTTGCTGAAGACCTCACCCGTTGCCGGATCTATACTGAACATGGGCGACGGCTGCTGCAGGGAGTAGGAGATCACCGAGTTGGGTCCCTGTTTATCGCGATCCGTGGCTATAATCTGACCCACCAACGCGATCGGCTGCTGCAGCTCCGGGAAGCTAAAGCTGTAGAAGCTATGCTCGAATTCGGGAGCGTTGTCGTTCTGGTCCTGGATGGTGATGGTTATGGGTGTCTCGGCTCGCCAGGCTCCATCTGAAGCCACCACCTTTAGAACGTACTCATCCTGCTGCTCACGATCCAGGTGACCAGCCACTGTGATGTTTCCACTCTGGGACTCGATGCGGAACTTCTCGCCAGGATTCTCGCTGAAAGAATAGGAGGCATTCGCATTGGCACCCATGTCCAGATCAGAAGACGTCACTCGTATCACAAAGCTACCGATCTCAGCATTTTCCGTTACGTTAAGGGAGAACAAGCGCGTAAACTTGGGCGGATTATCATTTTTGTCCAAGAGGTGGAGGAGCACACTGGCAGTTCCAGTCAAATGGGGCACACCCTGGTCCACGGCTTCTACAACGAAAGCATAATCTCCGATTTCCTCACGATCAAGACGCATCGTGGTATAAATCTCGCCCGATTCCATAATCTCAAAGGTGCCATCAAAGTCATTCTGTAAGCGATAGACGACCCTGCCATTATCGCCGGAATCTCGATCGCTGGCTTTAATCACAGCTATGAGCTGAGGTGGTGACTCCTCCTCCAGAACTTCGGCATTGTAGATGAGTTGCTCCATGATGGGCGCATTGTCATTGGCGTCCGTTACGTTGACTGTTATCAGAGTGACGCTCCGCAGACTCGGCGTGTCTCCATCGGCTGCCTCCACCCAGATCTCGTAGAGGTGTGTCAACTCATAGTCCAATCCATCCTGCCCCACGCTTAAGACTCCGCTATCCTTATCCACTACCAAAGATTCTCCCATGTTTCCGCCAGCTATGGCATAGCGCACTTTACCCGACAATCCTTTCTTCGGCGATGTGGCACTGACCTTGGTTATTATTTTGCCCGGCCTTACATCCTCGGACATGGTGAAGTGACTGTTAGCCATGTAGGCAAAGGAGGGAAAGAGCTCCGGGGGTCGCAGAATCACCGTAAGCTCTGCCTTGGAACTTAAAGGGCTCTCGCCCTGATCCACGGCAGAAATTATAATTGTATAAGTCAAATCACTAGGAGGCTTAGTATTACTCTTCAGCTCCAGCTTTGTGCTCACCACTCCCGTTTTGATGTTAATATTGAAGTAGTGCTGATCTCGCCCACTGATGCTGTACTGAACCACCGCATTCTCGCCTTCATCCAAGTCCAAGGCTCGGGCTCCAAACACAAACTCACCCGTGCTGATCCTGTCAGGAACTGCTACGTTGTATGAGGCAGAGTCAAATTTGGGAACGTTGTCATTTACATCGAACACACTGATTGTCAGATTTACGGACGATGCACGAGGCTCGGTAACGGAGCTATCCTGGGCCATCAAGGTCAAGTGATACACGGCTGTCTCCTCACGATCCAGAGTAGTGGCTGTAGTTATCTCCCCCGTTTCCGAGTCGATGTAAAACCGATTCATGAACTCGCCGAGCAAGTTAAATCGAAGCTTGGCGTTTACTCCTTCATCCTTATCGGTGGCCCTTGGTCGCAGGACAAGGGTGCCCGGTGGGGAATTCTCGCGAACAGTGGCGTGGTAGGACTGCAGTTCGAATACCGGATCATTGTCATTGATGTCCTGAACCTCTACTCGCACGATTCCTGTGCCAGTGAGTGGAGGCGATCCCGTGTCCATGGCTACTAAAGTCAGAGTGTACTCATTCTGCTGCTCGCGATCCAGTGGCTTCAGCAAAGCGATATCGCCGGAGGATGCATTGATGCGGAAGAGATCACTGTCGCCTTCCTTGAGGAAATATCGCACCTGGGAATTCAGAGGAGGTGTGTCTGCATCGTAGGCGTTCACAGTGAGCACGTATCCTCCATTCGGCGGCACCGTGTTCTCCATGACACGTGCCAGGTAAGGGGAGTCCAAAAACGTGGGTCTATTATCGTTTATATCCAGGATGTTGATGGTCAGTTCAGCCGTGTCGCCGGCAGGATTCTCCAAGGCGCAGTCTTCTGCGCGAACTGTAAGTGAGTAGCGGGAAAGTCGTTCGTAGTTCAAGTTCTTGGCCACCCGAACCACTCCCGTATCCTCGCTGATGCTAAAGTCATGGTTTTGATCCCCCAACACTATGGAGTAACGGATGCGGCCGTTGGCTCCTTCGTCCACGTCAGTGGCGGACACTTGCAGGACCATGGCCCCAATACTGGCGTTTTCGGCTACGGAGGCAGAGTACTGCTTGGGATCAAAAACGGGACTATTGTCGTTTTCGTCCAGAATCCGGATGAGCAACTGCGTCTCCGTGGACTGAGGTGGTTCTCCGCGATCCCGAGCTGTGATATTTAGCAGATAACTTGAACGCAACTCGCGATCCAGTGCGTCAACGACGCGCAGTTGTCCATCGGTGGGATTCAGGGAGAAGGGTATGGGCAGCGGCTCAGACTGACCCATGTCCTCGACTTCGGCCTCCTCCATGAGATATTCGATGTATCCATTTCGGCCCTCGTCATTGTCGACAGCTTTGACAGCGATAACGACCGTGTTGATGGCCACGTTCTCCATTATCGCCGTTTCGTTTGCGGAAACGAAGACGGGCACTTCGTCGTTGACATCTTTGATGAGTATCGTCACCTGGAAGAATGTGCGGATCAGTATTTGGCTAATTGTGTTTCATTGCATACGGTACGATAAAACGGTAAAGTTGTGTTTGTTTTCTAAGCTGCCACACGACCGATAACGACTGGAAACGAGTTTCCCTATGCTCGAAACTAGTCTGCTAATTAATTAGGGCTCCATAAACTACGCAAATCAGTCAGACCTGACCATCTAGATAATTGCTATTAATGTCCTAAAGCAAGGTAAGAACCGACAGAAGATTATACTTAACCCAGTGTCTACACTCATAAAAAATGATTATACATTCAGGAACAATTTATAAGATTTTATAAGATTTTAAAAATCCTTCATGCTTTATCACAGTAGCAAGTAAAAGTAAACATACCTTCACAGTCGAGGAAAGTCGCTGCTGTTTTTGATGGGCTAAAAACTCCTGCTGATTCTGCTGATATCGTCTGGGGGATCGGTACTTCAGCTTCAGCTGCGTCTCCTCCAGCTCGCTGAAGGATGCGAACTCATCAGCGCAATCTCGGGCTGTGACCGTAAGAGTGTAAGCCGATCGGTGTTCCCTGTCCAAGTTTCGGCGAGTGCGGATTGTGCCATTACTGTCGATGCCGAACTCCGAGTCGGCATCGCCTGCGGTGATGCTGTACTCAATGAGCCCGTTGTTGCCTGCAATAAACCGAGGAGGGCATTGATAATCACAGATCCGCAGGAGGCATAAGCGGAAATGATCTCCCCAGCTTACCCGAATCTATATCCTTGGCTGACACTGTGACAACCTCCTTGCCGATGGGCACATTCTCGAACACCTCGCTCGAATAGCTCATGGGATCGAAAATAGGAGCATTGTCGTTCAGGTCAAGCACGTTGCAGTAGACCGTAATAGTGGTGGAGAGACTGGGTTGCCCATTATCCTGGGCCTGAACGATCAGGATGTAGTGCTGAACCTGTGGGATAAGTAAACCAGTTAGTATTCCCTTACTGTGAAGTTCAGTTTGTCTCCACCTCTTCGTAATCCAGTCGAGCGGTCAAGGTCAGCATTCCTGTTTGCGGGTTCAGGCTGAAGACGTCGTTTGCCCAGTCCGAGACCACTCCGTAGGATAGCTGGGCGTTCTGGCCCAGATCAGCATCCTTCGCCACAATCTGACCCACTTGGTAGCCGCGCTGCGCATTCTCCGGTATATCAAAGGAGTACACGGTATCCTCGAACATGGGCGGGTTGTCGTTGGTATCGCTCACCTGTTGTTAAGTTAGAAAATATTATTTATAGAGAGATCAGCTAAGATAAGTGTCTTACCTGGATGGTGGCGTATGCCTCCGTGTACTGCACTCCATCGGAAACGCGAATCCGTAGCTCGTACTTGCTCTTCGTCTCTCGATCGAGGGTGTCATTGAGAATAAGTCTTCCGCTTGTGGGCTCCAGCATGAACTTGCCATCGTGGCCATCCATCAGAAGGAATGTCACCGACCCGATGGTATCCGGATCATGGGCCAGCAGAGTGGAGATGGTGTGTCCAATCTCCAGGTCCTCGCTGACATTATAGACGAACGGAGTGTCGAGGAACTGCGGGGGACTATCATTCTTGTCGAGAACTGTTACTCTGACCTGCAGGGGAAAATATAAAGCGTATTCGTTGCGTCAATAACACTGACCCACTTGGCTGGAGGAGGAATACTCGTACTGGTATAAGCTGGCATCAGCGATATGGGATCGAGCGGAAACTAGTTCCATATTTGGCACTAAATGCCCAGAATATTCTGTGTACGAGCATCCACTTATGTGCCCGCCGAACTTCTGTCGCAATGTCAATCGCATTCTTCATCTCTTTTAACCCGGCCCCAAATGACCTGCTTACTCTCGAAACTGGCTAAATGGGAATTGGTATATGAAAAATGGTATATGGTATACTCGTATGAGGGATATGAGAGGCCAAAAAGTTGCCGCAGCTTGAACTTTCTGTTTATGACCGAGCGAATTATAGTTAAGGCCACTTCCCTTCGAGCTTGGCCCGAACAAAACCGGCTGCTTGTGTCATTGTCATTTCAATTTGATGTACGCGTATGCAGATGTTGTGCAATTCGAATTAATTTAAAAGTCTTAAGGTCTTAGAAAAAATAAATAAGAACTAATGCTACAAGTACTTTCTAAAACCATTACGATTTGAGGTAAAAAAAGATTTTCAAGAGTCGAGAAAGGCTGGAGAATCGATCGTCTAATCAAGCCGCTTAATGTCCCTGGTAAGTCTATCTAGCGCTCCACAAAAGCCACCTCGTAACTCTTGGCCATGTCGCACTTGGAGGACAACGAAAAGCCAAGGAGGACATAAATACTCCAGACTGGGATCCCCTCGTAAAATATTGCGTCGTGTGTTGGGATGACGGTGTTAAGTCGGTGCTGGGCGAGTAAATACTGCATTTGTAATAAAATTTATGCAAATTTGTAGCATCAGACGGCAGAAACAAGGATGCTAGGGATCTACTTCCACTCACGAGTGCATTAGTGGGCAGTCTTGGGAGCAAAACACCATTTGGATGCCCGAGGCCGGGTGAAATGTGTGCGGCTAATTGAACTAATTTGAGGCAGTGGAAAGCGGGTGCAGCTGCGGAAAATGTAACCATTTGTCAATCCGCTTAATGGCCAGAAAAAGAGCCCAGAAAAACACGACTGGCAACGGAACGAGGCAGAAACTAGCCTTGGGATGGCCATAAATTTGCGTGAAATTCCAAACCCTGGAATCGGATCTGAAGACACTTTGATGGAAAGCCAAATGACATTCACTAGCTTGTTGGCAAACACTTAATTGCGATTATTTGGAAAGCAGACCAGAGTCGGAGACTAGAAAGCTTAGCTTGATTCCATTCTAAGATCATTATGGCTTACACAAAAAGCCTATTAGACGGATGTATTGTACTCCTAGTTTTTCATCTTTAACCATAATCATTTAGCTAATTCTGCTAAATTTTAGGCCTTTAAGTTGGTAACCGGATGAGGAGTCTCTTTTTAGTTCGGTAAATATTTAAAATTAACACAGAATTGAAAAACATGACAATCGTTTTAAATCAATGCAACAATGAATTGATTGAAACGCTCTTCGCACGCGAGGACCAGCGAGCGAAACATCCACTAAACCATAGTTGCTTGTACTAACCCAAGGCTGTGTTTTTTCTTTCTCCTCTTTTTTGATATTTTTTAGCTTCTTGCACGAAACTGGAACTGGAACTACACACATTTGCATGCGTGCATTGTTGGCATACCTACGCATACGACGTGTTGGCCATGAACACGCGGATCGGAAAGAAAAGGCAAAAAGCTAAAAGAAACTCGGGATGGCTGTCTGCAAGGCAGAAGAATCTGGCTCCAAAGAGGGGACTGTATGCTGGAGTATCATAAAGAGTCTACAGGCAAAGAATTTATATTAAATGTGGATGGTGGAAAGAAAGTTTATCTTTGCATAGAATTTGGAATATCTATTCAGTAAACTTAAAACATCTTTGGGTTTAGGCAAAGAACCTAATTTTCCACAAAAAAGAAAAAACTACATATTAAATCTAACTTGGTTTCATCTTATTTTTTTCCGTGTACTTGGGCCGGGTTCTTCTTGCCTTTGTTCGCTCTCCTGGCCGTTTTTTCGCTCGGAAACCAGTATGAAGAGGTCTGCTGAGGTCTGCGAAATACCCTCCGAACGAAGAGGGGCGGAACCTGGGCGATCGGGATGCCTGGACTCAGGTGAGTAGGGTACTGGGCATAATTAAAGGCATCTGCCAATGAAGCAACTTATTATAATTCTATCCCTGCGGCCCATTTATGCAGCGCTGGGATGTGAAATATTTTCTCGATACACAGGTCTGTCTGGTTGCCCCTGCCACCCGGCCCCTATCAAATTCATTCAACAGATAGCCGGGCTAAGGGACGCGACCGGCGGTTCTTCGTTGGCCTGTTAATTTGCATCTGAATCTGAAGGCATAGCCGCATGTGCATGCATGTGCAGAAAAGGATGACTGAGGGACTGAGCTGGAGCTGGATCTGGAGCTCCGGAGTGGTTGGCGTGTAATCAACATTTCATATCAGCACAAGACATTAAAAGCGCATTAGTGCGGTCCCGACTTGCACTGATAAGCCCTTAAAACTGCCCCAGAAATGGCCGACACACGGCCTCACCATCCAGGGAAAAGCACCCATATTCCCTATATCCCCATATCGCCATCCACCAGCCTTACATTCTGCTACAAAGTAAAAGAAAGGTCGGACCCAGAGTAAGTTCGAGGACCCTTGATGTAAGTGATCGGAATCTGATAAGCCCTTACTTGGATTCCGACCATTTCGATCAAAGTGTGTATGATGCATCGTATCATTAGCTTGGATACCAGTCACGAAGCTTTCGTACAGTTCAAAGTCCCTAAGAATTTCAGGGTCTGGGTATTGAACTTCATTTATAGAGTCCTCAAAATGGGAGTTATAACTAGTTTAAATTACACAAATAATCGATTTAATATATTTATTATTTAGTTATTTAGAAGACAAAAGGTATATCTTTTTACTAACTCACCTTCGTTCGGGATGTGCGGGGCTGTCCTCCGAGAGCAATGGCGTAGACCTCCACTTCGTATTCGTCGGGACCGGCTTCCCGGTCTAGTTCTGCGGCTGTGGAGAGGATTCCCAGCTTGGCGTCGATGTCGAAGAGGCGGTCCACCTGACCGTGCGATCCACCTGCTGTGACATTGGTCACAAAGTATTCTATTTCGGCACCTGCCAGATGAGCATTCACCGTCAGGATACTAGTTCCAATTGGTTCGTTCTCGTACACGGAGCCCGAGAGCATATTTCGTTGTTCAAACTGCGGCACGGATGATTCACTTCCACTAGAACCGGGCGTTATGATTGTGATGTAGACCTCGCTGCTGCGACGCTCGCTTTGGACCGCCTCATCGGTGGCCTTCAACGTCAGCTGGTAGCGAACCTCCGGTTTGAGCTGAGCTCCCGGGGTAAAAGTTATAATTCCCGTGTTTCTTTGCAGGCGGAAAAGCTCCTGTTGCCCACTGACTATTTCGTAGGTGACCAGTCCATTGCTCGACGAGTCCGCATCCTTGGCATGGACTTGCATGACCGTTGTGCTGCTGCTCTTGGAAGAGGGAATCCTAGGGTGGAAGGATGGCCGCATTCATGGACACGAATATGGGCGCGTTGTCGTTAATGTCCTCCACAATCACGGTGACCAGTTTCTCCGTGGAGAGCTGTCGTTCCGACGGTTGAGCTCGATCCGTAGCTACCACTGTTAGCCGGAAAGTGTCGATAGATTCACGATCTATCTCCCTCAGCGTATGAATCACACCCGTCTCCGTGTTTATTCCAAAGTGTCGTCCTTGTGGAAGTTGGGGCTCCTGCTTGCTAATGGCATAACTCACCTTGCCATTAAGTCCCGAATCCGGGTCATCCGCAGTCACGGTGACGATGGGCGTCTTGAGGGGAATGCCCTCCTTGATCTGTCTAACGATGGCAGTGCTGGGGAAAATGGGAGGATTGTCATTGTCATCCACCACGAGGACGTTGTACAAGACAGTGGTGGAGAGCGATGGAGTGCCGCAATCTGAGGCTGTGATGTTCAGAGTATAGCTGGTTATGTCCTCGTAGTCCAAGGGCTTGTGGAGATAGAGGCTTCCCGTAATACTATCGATATGAAAGGTGTCTCGGCGATTGCCTGCCGAAATACTGAACACCACTTGGCTATTGACACCCTGATCCGCATCGCTAGCCCTAAATCTCATTAGTTCCGTGCCCGTGGGACTTGTCTCCAGAACGGATACTTCACTGCTTGATTGAGTAAACTCCGGGGCATTGTCGTTCTCGTCCAGGACCACAATTGTAATGCTGGCATTAGAGCTCAGAGGATGCTTTAGTGCAGCATCCCGGGCAACGACGATCAAGTGGTGTACCTCCTGGGATTCTCGGTCCAAGCTCCGGGCTAACGAAAGCTGACCTGTGGCACTGTCCAGATTAAACTGACCCGCCTCGTTTCCCTTGGCCAATGTGTAGTAGACGTCTCCGTTGAGACCTTCATCCGCATCTTGGGTGAAGACGTGTGTTATATGCGTTCCCTTCAGAGGCGCCCTCAGAGATGGTTACGTGGTAGGGAGCTCTTAGGAACTCCGGGGCATTATCGTTGACATCTGTGACGATCACCTTTACCTTAACTTTGTCCTGCAAACGAGGAGTGCCATTGTCCGAAACAGTGGCCTCCAGGAGCATAAAGTTTCCTGCCAAGGATCCCCGAGGCATGCCCTCTTCTCCGTTGGCCTCTGTGTTCCTGCTAACTTTCACCAGAGCCTCACGGTCGAAAGGGCGTAGGGTCTTGATGAAACCATTCCTGGTATCTATCGTAAAGTCATTCGTCTGACTGGTCAAAGTGAAACTAAGCTCCGCATTCCGCCCAATATCGCGATCCACGGCAGTAAGCTTTCCCACAAACGTATCGGCAGGAGCGTTTTCCGGAATACTAAACGTAAATGTGCTGTTGGTAAACTGGGGGGCATTGTCGTTTTCATCGATCACGTGGATCACCACAGGAACAACCGAAGATCGGGATGGCTGACCGGCATCTCGGCATGAAACTGTTAGAGCATAGTAATCCCGCTCCTCGCGATCCAATGGAGCTCTCACAAACAGAAAACCATCGGGAAACACCCCGAACATTCGATCGGTGTTTCCCTCGATGATCTCGTACGAGATCCGGCCATTATCGCCCAAATCAATATCCGTGGCGGCCAGGGCGAAGAATCGGGTGTTTACTTTAGTGGTTTCAGGCAACGAAGTCTCGTAGGAGGTGTGATCGAAAACCGGGGTGTGATCATTGACATCGGCTATGAACACCGAAAGACTCAACTTACTGGAGAGCGGGGGACTTCCGGCATCCGTGGCCATTAGCTCCACGTGGATCACCGTTCCGGGTTCAGCTCTAATGGGCCTCTGAAGATAGAGAACTCCTGTGAGTGGCCCGATGCGGAACTGCTGGTCGGGATTGTTCGTGAGGCTATAACTGATTCTACTGTTTACACCAGCATCCCGATCCCGCACTCTGGAAAGGTAGACCTCCTGGCCCACGGCCGCGTTCTCCGGCAGCCAGATCGTCGGGTCTGAGTCGCGGTCCAAGGCGAAAACTGGAGCATTGTCATTTAGATCTATTATGGCGATATTCACAGTGCACTGGCCAAATGAAACAATGGAGGAGATCGAGCTGGGCGTCGAACTGGCCAAGACGGTCAATCGATAGTGGGCCTGCTCCTCGCGGTCTAAGGATCGGAAGGTAGTGATGCGACCACTCCTGGGATCGATTTGGAAATTCTGAGCCCTGTCGCCTTGGATAATATTGTACTCGATGGATGGGTTTGGCTTGCCATTCGTGCCCTTTACCTGCACGACCCCCACCTCGCGGTTCGGTTGGCTGTTCTTCCGCTGCTCGTGATCCTCGACCATCTGGAACTCATAACCACCTTGCCCCTGACCGCATTCAAGCATCTCCGACTTGGACTTGAGCACAATTTCGACGATGGCATCCTGTTGGCTCCTCCGCTGCCCAGCATCACGTGCCGAGACTTTGAGTTTGTAGTGGGGCTTCACGTGCACCGAAGTGGCTGCACCGCCACGCAGACTAATGGCACCCGATCTCGCGTCCAGCTGAAATAGACCTTCGCCACCTGACTCGAGTCGGTACTCAATTAAGGCATTATCGCCATCGTCTTCATCTGAGGCCGTGACATGGAACAGCGTCTTCTCCTCCACCTCCTCCTTGGGCTTGATATCATCATCGCTGAGCGTGTAGATGTAGTGCCTGGGATAAAACTGGGGATCGTTATCGTTGGCATCGGCCACATTCAGCCAAACGGTGGCAGTGGCCGATCGGGGCGTGGGTGCTCCCTGATCGCGGGCAATCACAGGGATCTCGTAGCGCGACATTTTCTCACGATCCAGAGGCCTTCGCGTCGTTAATTGGCCCGTTAACGCATCGAGGGCAAACTGTCGCGGATACAGGCGCTCCACGCTGGGCGCCAGGACAAAGGTCACCGAACCGTTGGTGCCCTGATCATGATCAGTGGCCGTCATCAGAGCGACAATCGTTTGCGGTGGAGCATCCTCGCCAAGGGTAACATTTTGCTCCCTCTGGCTGAACTGCGGGGCCTCATCGTTCTCGTCCAGAATAGTCACCTTCAGTTGGGTGTAAGCAAACTTGGGGTTCGGTCCTCCATCCCGCGCCGAAATACTCAGTTCTATGGTGTCGCGGATTTCTCTGTCAAGCGGTCCCGCCGTCACAATCAGGCCTGTCAAGGGATCCATGGAGAACCACTTAAGCTCGTTGCCCGAGAGTATATCGTAGTGCACTTGTGCATTGACCCCAGTGTCCTCATCCGTGGCCGTGATCGAGGCCACAAAGCTTCCCGTGGGTGCCAGTTCAGTCAGCACCGCCGAATACTCCGACTTTTCAAACACCGGCTCATGATCATTCACATCGTTAACGTCTATGATCAGGTGGGCTGTCGTTGTCCTCGCCGGAGTTCCCTGATCCATTGCTACCACCGTCAGGTTATATTTTCCGATCTCCTCGCGATCCAACACACCATTAACCCTCACTATATGCAAGTCGGCAGCCTCCTCGAGACGGAAGTGACCCAACTCATTACCAGAAACAATTCGCACCGCTGTCTTGCCATTCAGACCGGAATCGGAATCTTGAACACCTACGGCTGCTACCACAGTTCCATTCACGGCATTCTCATCCACGGTGGCCACTTTTCCGCCGTCGGGAAAGAAGCGAAAACTGATGATGGGATCGTGATCGTTGGTGTCCAGCAGGTTGACAGTCACATAGGTGCGTCCATCCTGCCTGGGAGATCCATGATCCCGGGCGAACACTGTAAAGACGCAGCTTTTCTGGCTGGATGAGCTCTTCACATTAGTCTGCTGAGGGCAATTCACTCGCTCAGTGGTGGAGATGACGCCTGTCTCCGGATTCACTGTGAATTGGTGCTCCGTCTCGGCCAGATAGTAGGTGATCTTGCTATTGTCCCCCAAATCATTGTCAGAAGCCATGACAGTCACCACTGGAGTTCCAGGTAGTGCCGTTTCGTTTAGAGAAACATTGTAATCGCTGTGATCAAAGATCGGTGGGTTGTCGTTGACATCCAGGATGGTGACATTCACCTGCAGGAAACCGAAACGCGGTGGAGATCCTCCGTCTTTGGCTGAGATGTTCAGCTGGTAGCTGCCACGTGACTCGCGGTCAAGATTACCGGTGGTTTCCAGATGCAGGTAAGAGGTATCCCCACTGGGATTAGCAGTGGTGGCCAGCCGGAACTTGTTGTCCACATTTCCGGCTACAATCTCGTACTGATCGGTGACTCCGTTTTCCCCAACATCCGCATCAGTGGCGGCATCGAGGAGCAATCGAGTACCGGAGGTGGCACTTTCCGAGAAGGAAATAGCGATGCTCGGTTCGGGAAACTCCGGAGAGTTGTCGTTTGACATCCAAAACCTTGATCCGCACCTCTATGGGGTAAGTGGGCTGCGACGAGAGCACCACCAAGTCGTAGTGATCCCGCATCCCCTCCCGATCGAGCACCACATTGGTCTTCACCTCACCCGTCACCGGATCGAGTGTAAATTCCCGAGGAGGCTCATTGAAGCGATAGGAGAACTTTGGCTTTGTGGGTATAAAGCCAACCGAGGTTCCACGCGGCTGACCCTCGAGCACCTCGAAGTCGGCACTGGTGTCCACGGCACGGGATTGCATCTCACCCGCTGGCGAGGATGAGGAGCTCCTCCTTCGCGGGAAGGCGGCATATTGTTCATAGGTGGTGGCATAGCTCCGGCCACGCGGTGCCAGTAGCTCCAGTTTGGTGTCACCTGTTTGGCCCAAGGATTCCCTGGCCAGGAGCAGGAAAAACAGGAGCAGTAGCCTCTCCATCTTCGGAGCGGATGGGAGGCTGTTTCTAATGTTTGTTCTAAATTTACGTTGCACTATTCTCATTTGCCGTGTCTTGTTGCTCACACTCTGAATGCATCTCAGAACTCTTCATTTTGAATCACTTTTGATGGTTAATCGATTTTACGTCTGTCACCTGAAAGAAGAAGGAAAACTAAAGTTAACTAAAAGTTATGGTAATTGTAACTAAGTGCTAATCAGGTATTGACGTGCTTGTGCCACATGTTGGAGTAAACCTTTCAATTAACAAACGGCTTTCATGCAACGTGCCCACGAAGCATATCAGCTATTTCATACTCCGTCGAGCATAAAATTAGTAAAGCTCAATTCGGTGGGATATGAGGCGCCAAAGCGTAAAATCGACATCGCTGGGAGCGAAGATTTGTGGCATGACTTACAGGTGCCAAAAATCAATCAAAAATCAAATCTTTTTTAGCTTCAGGTAATTGAAAAAGGAAAAGGAAAGGAAAAATAAATCATCTAAGTGTGTTCTGTTTTACAAGTACTTTATTTTTAATATTTAATACTTTTAATGTTTAATATTTTTCGTTGAAAACCAGCGTCTGCATATATAAAATATTATATGAGTATAATAAACATATTTCATCATGAATTCCACTTTGTTTTGTAAAAACAAATGACTGAGGAAACAAACTTGCAGTGAAAAATGATGAGCCGCGTTTTCCACTATCAAAATTAACTTTTTCCATTTTATAAATCATATAGTTTTTCAACTTTTCACCTGAGAAAAATCCCTATCAACCCACGCCCTTCTTCAGTACGATAAATGCGGGCATATGGCAACGAACAAACCTTAAGACTAGCGTCAAATTGATTGAAGTCCAGAGACTTCGACTGGTGCTGCTGGTCCAAGGCTTTTAGGAAAATCTAATCAAGATTTAGGCGGCGTCTATTAATCAAACGAAATTCCGAAACACATTCTGGGACAGAAACGGCGATGGAGACAACGACCGAAAGAAGGAAAATTTCCATTAATAGCATGCGTGTCAGCTTTGGACCAAATTAATGCTCTGTGGGCAATCTCTTGTTAACCCGAGACTCTAAGAATATCAATACAAAGACGCCAAGCCCCTGCCCACCTCCGCCCCATTGTCTGAAATAGTGGTAGTAACGCTCTGAAATCAGCTAACTGATTCGTATTTGTATTAACACTAGAGCACCGTAAACGCCACAGCCCCTGTAAGTTTGGTATGATGGACTACAAAGTACCCTGTATAAAGTAATAAGTAATCATATTGTATATTAGTTACTTTTACAAGTGGTTGGCACTATAAAAGATAGTCTCTATGATCAGATCATCGAAAGTCGTGAAATATAGAAATCTGTAAATAGTTTTGAGGGTATTGAAATACCCGTCACATGGATACAGAGATCACTAGACACACTAGAGAAATAAGCTTGCCGTGGACCCGCAGAATCTGTCAGAATTTGGACTGCCGCTCGGATCGAATTGACTCGGATCGGATCTCTCTGTCTCCTCGGATACGTAGCTGGAAATGCGTCGTAAATTTCGTTTTTGTTGGTCGAAGCTTTTGAAGCCGAACCCGTTCATTAATCTTAAAAATCTACCTGCTCTAATGGTATTGTTAGCTGTCGGTGTTGTTTTTGTTTTCAGAGCTGTTCCTTTGCAATCTTCTCATTTCGTTTTTGGTCTCTATCAAAGATATTTTTATGTCTTGGTGTTTTGTCTTTTTTATGGCTGCCCAACACACATGAGCACATCTATGAAAAGGTCTGTGTCCGTCTCTGTCTCCGTCTCTGGGATCTTCGGTTCTCTGTTTCTATCGAATACCGATTGCATTAGCAATCCCCAATCTGAATTTTCCAAGAACTCTAAAAGTTTAACCCCTGCTGAGAGGAGTGTTAAAATGTAAATATTTTAATTTAAGAAGGCTAAAGTAGCTAAAGCAAGGATTAATCTCAGGAAGTGAATTATTGAAGGATAGGAAAGATAATGGATATAAATTCATCATCAAACAAATTCAGAATCAAACAGCCTTACTACCGTAATCAAATGACGTTCATTTGAGGAATATTAATTTTTGGGAAATCTTTCATTTTTCCATAAACGGAAATGAGTATTTTCTTCCCCTTGAAAATATTACTTTCATTGGCGATGCATGAGCTGTCCGAAGGGGAACCTTTAAAGCTAATTTAGAGTTCACCATTCACAGCTCACGAAAGGCACAAAAATTTGAATATTGTCTCGAAGATTGGAGAGGAAAGCAAAGACCATTTGTTTGATTGATGTATGCATATTGCCTTATCCGTCTCCTTTACACTTTCCCATACGCACCGTTGGCTTATGGCATATCTGGTTTCCACGCCATTAATATCGATGTGCGGGCTATATTCGAGAGCTCATAAAATACCATATAGCCTCGCATGACCCGGCTAGTTTATGCGGCTTAAGTCCATTAGCAATGCAAATTCAGATCCCAGTCCGAGCCCACAACAAAGGGAGCAGATTTCAGAGCTAGAACCTCCGAAAAGAACAGAACCAGTCGGCGAAATTTCGTGATGATGCCCCCAGCATTCCCGACTCCTTTTCTTATTATTATGAATTTTTATTTTATTTCAGCTTTTCACTTTACATCTCACTGCAGAGCCACTACAGGGTCGAGCCAAGTTGTAAACGTGTTTTTCATATTTCCATATTCATTTACATTTTGCTCTCGAGCGAGATACCATAAGGCCAGAGAGTCGCACTGTCCAGGAATATTTTCTTTTTCTTTCTCCCGATCGTCGATATTTCTGACAATAACAAAACAAACCCAAAAAACGACAATTTTCAACCATTACGTGGCAGCGAGGCGTTCCACACTCAACTCAATGCGAGATCTCGACTTGCTTTTGGTTCAGCTTCAGCCTCAGCCTCAGTTTCAATCTCAGCCGCAGCCTCAGCATCTGAATCCGATTCCGAATCCGAAAACAACATCAACATCAACTTCAGGGGCCAACCTTTACAGCCACAACAGCCTACGTTACCGTTGGCTCGTAATAATTCCACAATTAATCTTACATGCTATTTACACTGGGCTGTGTGTGGGGCTTTCGCCGTTTTTCATGGCGATGGCTAAAACTATTGTCTACAGAGTGGTCTATAAATATGACTGGTTTAACCGCAACTTTGGGCTTAAAAACTTTAAAAAATAAATTCCACGTTATTTTGTGTTGATAATTATTTATATTTTGAAACTTTAGTTGATTTCCACTAATATGTGGTGGAAAGCTTTAAGATATATCATTCAAAAGTTGAATAAGTCTATGGGATATTACTGAGAGCTGAGAGTAAGTCCGTCTGGCGTTTTGCATACCAGACTACCATTTCGATTTGGTTATGAATGCATTAGCTGAAAACTGCCTTTCTTGAGAATGGCGTGGGCAGGAAAAAGTGATTTGCGCTAGCTTATTGATTTTATGCAAATTCCCTGTCTGAGATTGGCTTAAATCTCAGATCGGAATACAAGGTGATGTGTGTGTAAGATATAGAGGGGGAAAAGGGTTCCCGAAGGCAGCCCGCAAATATCTATGCTGCATGAATGTTTATGAGTACCTACCATTTTTCTTCACATTTTTACATGCATTTTGGTGTTGGTGGGCTCTCACACACACACTCACGGAGATGGCGGCACACACACTGTTACACGCACGGGGGCACACACACACACGTACGCAGCATATTTATTTTTTTGTATTTTTTCCTTCAGCAAAACGTGTTTTGCCTCATTTTTCGCTCTTGTATATGGCTTGTAGCTGCAGCAGCAACGTTGTTGGAATTTTTCACTTATAAAAATTTGCAACGGCGACACACACACACAGGCACAAAGGGGTAAACTGGGGGCCAGCTGCTGGTAAGGACGTGGATTAACTTTGGGGCAGCATATATACTGCCGGGTAATATATGTAGATTAGGGACGCAATTATGTTTGCAGGGACAACACAGAGGCTTGTGGACGCACCTTCACTTTTTGTCAACTGTTCCGCGCACGCGCGCCTTTCGATCCGTCTCGAACTAAAGATATCGACCCAAACCACTCGCTCAGTGGTCGCAACGGAACTAAGTGGCTTCAGCTTGGATCCAGCAGAGATTCGAATGAGAGCCGAGGACTGGGAAAAGCCGTCAGACGGGTTTTTGACCCACTCTACGGAGAGCGAGACCCGATACGATTATTCTCTCCCGGCTCTACCTGTTGTATCTGCAACACATTTTTCACTTGTTGCAGTTTCGTTTTTCATTTTCTTGTTCGGAACAGCGCTCTCCGAGGCTCGGGCGCTCCTCATCTTTGTCGTCGCTTCAGTCCGGTCCAGTCCAACGAGATTCAATAGCCACCGGCGACCCATACACAGCAACAATTACGATTACCGGGGGTACTTCAGGGGACTCCACTGTACTCTCAAATTGTAACAAACAAATTTAAATAATAGGTAAATAACTAACCTATCTGAATTATTTTGACAAATTATGGTGTCAAATATATTATAAAAATTATAATCATTTTATATGGTAGAAAGTTAATATGTATAACGTCCACCTTAAGGGGGAGTCCGGACTATCTTATACCAAAAGTGCCATTCTGAGATCGCAATCCAATCTAAAGTCAGTATATAGTATATCCCAATCCAATTAATACTATTTAAGTTTCCCAGAAATCCACCCTTTTAACCATCCTAAGCCAACAACCCATTGTTCTCAGTGCACTAGCTGTTTTCGTTATTGTGCTCAGTCGTGCTCACTCGGTCCTACTAGAGTCCAGGTAACAGAAGGAGGAGTGGAGTGCTCCCCACATCCATGCCATGACGCAGGTTCGGAATGAGAAATTCTTTAACTGCTCTCTGCGAATCGCTCTCCCAATCTTCGATAGGCCTCCTCTCTCTGGGACTCTTTCAGTGGTTTCTTCCCTGGATCGCCCGGTCGGACCGTCTTTTCTTGGGCAGCGCCGTAGAATTTTGTTTAGCATAGAAACTGGTTTCAAATTAAAATTATCGCTGGTCATTTTTCTTATGGTTAGTTGTCGTTTACTTTGCCGTTGTTGTTGTTGCTGCTGCTGCTGGTGGTGGCTCATTTTTTTTGGCTTTCTGGAATTTTGGTGTTTGGTGTTTTGTGTTTGGGACCTGCGTTTTACTTCCCTTCGCTGCTGATTTTGTTGTCTTCTGTCTCTGGCGATGGTGGCGATGTTGCTGGTGTGAACCTAGCTCTCAGCCTTCCTCTCCGCTCCAATATCATTCCTCCATGCGTGCCCTAAACCTGTACACTGCGGAAAATACGTGGATCATATTTGAAAAAAAGGTTATGTATTAAAGAATATGGGTTAGGATGACAAAAATTATTCTGAATTAATGGTAAAACTAGTAGGTTAGGTTATTGAAATATCCAAAACTATTTTTCTCAGTGTATAAAGGAAGGTCTCCACAGAGAATGAGTTGCTGTCTGGACTCTCAATTGGGGCCTGCAGACGATTGTTGGATGCTGCCTGTCGGATGTCGCTAGCTGGCTGGCCATCTTTATTCTTATTAGGCTGGAAAATCGTATCTGGAACTGGAGAGATTCCAGGAATTCCTGACTGCACCAGCACTCAAAAATCTAAGCGAGAGAGCCCGCCGATTCAACATCGATCGTAATCTGTGTGAATATTCAGGGGTTTCTGTAGTGCTCAGGGGAATCGAAAAAGGGTCGGGTGAAAACAGTGCACTCCCCAGCTAGACCTAGACCACATCAAATTGCATGGGAGGTTGGGAGTTGCACGTTGCAAGTTGGGAGTTGGGAACCAAGCAACCAGAATCGACGAGTCAACCTCAGTTGAGTCCCGCGACTCGCTGGCTGCCTCGTAAAACTGTCACTTAGTGCAGTAAAAAGAGCATAACAAGAGTTTTGTCCGATTTTATTTCTTTATGAATGTCGTCTTGGTCTTGGTCTTGGTCGCTGCCTAAATGCCAGCCCAAGTGCCCCGGCAACAGAAACTGCAACAGCAGCCCGGTCCGGTCGCATTCTTATCTTTTGAGAAATATTACAAAAACACGCAAAGCCCAGCTCCAAGCTAAAAGTCCTGGCTCTGGTTTTAGCTTTTCTTTTTGGCCAAGAGCCACAAGAGCAAAGCAATAAAAATAGCTGAGCCTACGACGACGCAACATGCTGTTGCTGCTGTTATTGTTGCTCTTTCGGTTCCAGCGCTTCTGTCACAAAGTTAGTTTCGTTCTATTTCCGACGTAGTGTGGGCGAAGTCAGGGTATCCTTGAAGTCCATAAGCTGTAGTGGATTTGATTTAAAACAGTTTTACATCCGAAATTCCTCTTTCAAATGATACTTCCAAAAAAACTCTCACATAATTATCCCCTCTTTTTTACTGAAATTCCAAAGAAATATTTGAATAATTTATAAAATGAAAAAATAAGAGCTTTGATTCCCATACTTTTTGATTCGAATTCGTATGTTACTTTTTGAATTCAAATTATTTCGCGGCTTATATTTCAGTGCTGTAAACTGCCTAAGAGTAGTGTTGCGAAGTGTAAAGATGAAATATGTACCCAACTACCTCTTTTTGTACCTGTACCTAGAACACCATTTACTTTTCAATCTTACGATCTCATGAGAGAACTCTAATTGACAGGAAAAACCAATCAATGAGACACAATTTCATTTAAAGAGAACAATTGTTCTTGAGAACTTCGGGGAAGCAATTTGCTTAAATTGAGAGTTATTATATGAAGCAATTCCCAGTTTCACAAATCGCCTGACGAACCCATATATCTCGCAGACATGAGGCGACGCTTATCTCCGCCATCTGGCCCTGATAAGCCAGTCTATCTAGCATTTTCCAGCCCACTGAACACCCCACCTGCCAGAGATTAGATAATGCCGCGCATATGGATCATCTCACACTTAATTTATTTGATCTTCCAGCGCTGCGAGGAGAAGCGTGGAGGGCACGTAAAACAAAACACAAACATACGTACATACAATTAGCCCTAAGAATGATGCTATCGGGGTTACTTGACTATGTATACTGGAGAGTGATTACATACATATTGGGGGTGGAGTATATGGGTATTGCGTCTTCTAATGCTAGTGCATACTGTGGCTGCAGGGGAACTCCTAGTCCTGCTTCTTTTGTGTAGCTGTCTTTTTGGTTGCTGGCGCTGTCTCGGCAGCTTCTATAGCTCCGTTTGGTGTCTGGCCTTCCAGCTTCTTGGCGGCGTGCTGTTGCTCCATCTCCCCGGAGAAGCCGAACTCATTCACACGCTTCAGATCCACACGGTACTGCCAGCGCTGGTAGAGGAACACGAAGAATATGATGTCGTCGCGGAAGCAGCCGAGCCGGTACATTGTGGGCATCTTAATGACAAACGCGAAGATGTCGTCGATAAAGGTGTTAAGGAACTTGTAGGTCATCATGCGCCAAGGCATATGAGCCACCGACTTAAGCTTGTAGTTGATAAACAGCTGCGGCGTCATCAGGATGAAGCCAAAAGTCAGCAGGTAGCCGTATAGCATGTTCAGCACAAAGGAGTACCAGCCCTTGTGCTCGTTGTAGATTAGGGAGTAGACAAAATAGGCCACCAGTAGCGGGAAGCAGGCCCATCCCAGGTATTTAAAGGCCAACTTGTCGTAGTCTTTGGTGGAACTCTCCGAGTAGGAGCCCTTGTCTTGGAAACTGATTCGCGGCAGCACGCCCAGAATCTTTTGATCGTGGTCGTAGTTAATATCGACCACCTTGTGAATCTTCCACACTTCGATGCCGAGGCCTACGACGCACGAGATACGAATCATGAAGTTGGTCTCGTTGTCCAGCACGTACAGCAAGATAATCAGCGATTGGAAGACACCGAAAAACACGGATCGCACAGACAGTCCTTCTAGTGACTTGCGGTTATTCCAGAACTGGATGTCGTTCTTAAAAGCCAGTAGTTCGAACACCGAGTGCAGGATGGAAACAGCAACGGTGATGCCCAGCAGATAAATATTGGTATCAAGCAGGGTTTCCTTCAGAGAGTCCTGATCCTCGTCGCTCTCCTCCGGCTGACTGGCGGCCATCAGCTCTCCCAGCATATTGCCAGCCCACTTGTTCTTCATCTGTTTGGCTGCATACAGCTGCCACTTGAACATGCCCAGAGGCTGGAAGGTCAAATGAAGCTCGAGTTCAGGAGTGGTTTCGTTGATGGGTTGGTACTCCCGCTGCAAGTTCCAGTAGTCGTTGACGAACACGATGGGCAGATACGTTTTTCCACCGTCCACAAACTTTACGTACTCGTCGAGAGGCGCAGGTACAGAACCCTGCGCCCAATTTGTTTGATCCACCACCAGGTTGACCGTGAGATTGGGATGCCAATGCGACACTACAGTGTCTTTGAGATTCGCATGCTTCAGCTCGTGTTCCAGTTTCTCTTTCTCGCTGGCCAGCAGATTATAATTGCGGTTCACACGCAGCTTCTTGAACTTGTTCAGTTGATGCTGCTGGTGTCCCATGTGCCCATTGGTGGCGTAATTCGGGGAATTGGGATCGGGACTCATGCCGGTGCGTGTAACAAAAGCATGCAGGTACACACTACCGTTGTTCATTAGATGCTGGCTGGTCTTAAGCTTAAGGCTATGTGTATAAATGCCATCTCTATTAGCGCCCGAGGACCAGTCCCCATAGGTCAGGTCCTCCTGCAGCCAAAGAAGATTCGCTTTCTGCTGAAAGTTCACCACGTCAGGGTGCTCCGATAGCCACACGTGTAGGTCAAAGTCCGTGCCGTTCTCAAAGTAATTCCAGGCTGTGATTTTGGGGCCGGCATTGGCGGCACTTTTATCTTGTGTAGCGGCATCGGGAGCAGGCCGCCGGAAGAAGGAGCTCACGAAGTAAATGATCAGGGCGCGAAGAATTAGAGACTTGGTCATCGCAAAAAATGACTCCATGCGGGTGGGCTGATTTTGGGGTGGTTGCTGCGGCTGGTCCTGGTTCTGGCCTTCATTTTGGGCCAGCTCAGCGTTCCCGTTGCCAGCAGCCACCTAGAAAATTAATGACAGGAATCAGGGGCAAAGGTCAATTGGCATGCCAGACTGCTTACCGTTCCCTCCGCAGCGGGCTGACCTTCGCCTGCTTTCGACATTATATGTTCTTAAGGGTAGTCCACGTTTTTCCTTTTTCCCCTTTATTCCACACAACTTTACTCAGTCGCTCGAACCAGTGTTACCAGATGTTAAAACAGCTCTGTCAAGAAAATTCCCGTCCATCTGATTTCCCACGAAAAATCCCTTTACTACATCAATTCAAATTAAAATCGAAATTCGGAGATGCCACTCGTTTGGTGCTTATCGATAGTTTGCTAGAAAGGTGTGCCAGTGATGCGCAGCTCAACAATAAAATATAACACTAGCATTGGGATACCGGTCTGGCTTAAATTTGATATAGTTATAAGATGAGATACCATCTATTCCAGTTGACTAGCTTATCAAATAATTATATATCTTTACATATGTTTTCATTTTGGACTCGAACTACATAACTTTTCAACATTTTGGATTTTGCATACATAGATTGGATTTCAAAAAGAAACGTACTTGGCCCTTTTAAAACTTGTATGTGAAAAAAATTTTTTAAAATAATAATAAATAAAACTGATGTAAAAGATGATGTAAAGTGAATTTAGTTACAGTCATTTAACACTCAAATCCGTTAAATGAATAAATAATAATAATTAAACTAAAATAATTCAAAGTGCTATTCATTTAATACCAGTTTGGTATATTTCCAGTGCCCAGACTCGGTCACACTTTCTTTTCTCTTGTGAATAGCATTTGGTTGCACGTTTCCTCTGGTGAGTTGTTAAAAATATTGCAAAAATAAATGAAAAAAACCAAAACCGTGGCAGAATGTTGCGGTGCCAGCGTTCAGTGACTTGTTTGCGGATTGGAAAACGTGGAGAATAGGTTCGGCCGACTTGCGGAATGTTTTCTTTTGGGGGAAACTTGCTAGCAGGTCGGACCTAACCTAAAATCCTCGCCCGCTTTTTGGCACCAAAACGTTTTCTCGTTAAACCCAGAGAATTGGGATTGATTTCGATTTTATTGCATTGCAGCGACGCCGCCACCATGCAAATCTTCGTGAAAACCCTCACCGGCAAGACCATCACCTTGGAGGTGGAGCCTTCGGACACCATCGAGAATGTGAAGGCTAAAATCCAAGACAAGGAGGGCATTCCCCCAGATCAGCAGCGTCTGATCTTCGCCGGCAAGCAGCTGGAGGATGGACGCACTCTGTCCGACTACAACATCCAGAAGGAGTCGACCCTTCACTTGGTGCTCCGTCTGCGTGGTGGTATCATTGAGCCTTCTCTTAGGATCCTGGCCCAGAAGTACAACTGCGACAAGATGATCTGCCGCAAGTGCTACGCCCGTCTGCATCCTCGTGCCACCAATTGCCGCAAGAAGAAGTGTGGACACACCAACAACCTGCGCCCCAAGAAGAAGTTGAAGTAGACTATGATCCACCGACGATACAGGCTGGTCTATCTATCGACAAATCCATGGTTAACCATCTAAGTAAATATATGTACATTTTGTAAAACCACATCTCCTCGAAATGTATTGCATTTGCTGCCAAGGCACAGCCTATTTACACCGTGTACGTTTCTGTTTATGATTCTGTTTCCCCTGCTATCTGTTTTTGTTGTGGTCGCTGCTAAAGAACGAGTTTCTGCGGCCCAAGGAAGCTCTTATACTGCAATTAGTTGGCCTCTCCGAGATCCCAGCTGGTTTTTAGCTGTTTCAGTTTCTGGTTCTGTTTTTGCACCAGGAAGCGGGCGACCGCAGCAGGTAATTGATATTCCATCTGCCAGCGACACAAGACCCTTGCGGTCAGCTCTTTCTAAGGGAAAGGAGGGGACTGGGGTACTCCACGGATGGCCGCAGCAGACCTACTTGGCCAAGTCAAGTCCACTTCGAGTACAGTTAATTGGTTTCATTGACCGCCGAGTAAGGCGGGCACTCTTCCAGCGAAACGGCTTCCGTTGTCAACTGCAAAACTGGTTGCTGTGGATCTAATCCATTCTAGCACATGGTCGTTGGCCTCTTGGAGCTCTTTTTATGAATCTTTTAATAACCCAAGGGCTACCTCCTGACGACCCAAAGGGTTCCTGATAAACAAAACCTGATAACAGGCGGAAAACTGAAAAGAGCAGCTGCCAAAGGACCAGCCCCAATTGCGGTCAACATTAATTAAAAATACGGTTCGGGGTGACCCAAAGCAGTTTGGGTGGGTGGTTGGGAAGAGGTTATTTTCGTAGCCGCGAGGTCCGAATGATGAAACAGCGGATCAAGGACAATGCAAAAAAGTTAGTCGCCCAAAGGGAAACACCTTGAAAAGGTGAGAGGGCGATAAACAACCTGAGCTGCCCACAGGTGCGGATGCAGTGGATCTAGAACTTTACTATGATAGCCAAAACGGCAGTGTAAGCTGAGGGAATCTAATTTAGTTTAGTATATACATGTATTGGGTATTGATATCAACACTAAACTTTTTTAATTTATATTTTTCTCATAGCCAAAGTCCGAGGCCACGTACAGTACAAAAAGGTGTTATGTACGAAGTACTTTAAAAATTAAGGCTCCGGCTTTTGGGCTCCAGGACAAGCGCCTGCTTATTTATGGGTTCCGGGTCCTCTGCCTTCAGGCTGAGGGCTTGGAAATACCCGAACAGGTTCCGGCCCTACAGAGATCTCTTCCCTCTTCCTTGCCGTTTCCCAAAGCAAGTGCGTGGCTTTCGTTTTTAATTTTTGCAACGCACGAGGGGCAGGATCTCATTCCCGTTTCCAAGTTTCGGGCTTTGTCTTTTAGTCGCCGCCTTCGCCATTCTTCGAAGGACGACTTTTATAGCCCGGTCGCAGTTTACATAACAGATGTGACCAGAATAATTAAGAGTGCGATTCGAGTGACCCGGGTGCTGCCATCTGGGATGTCTCCACTGGTCAGTCCTTTGGTTTGACACTCTTAACGTTCTGGGCGTTGCTCCTGGCATCGAGCGGCCTTGTCACCATCCATCTACCCATTCTCCACCCACACCCACACCCACTTTGCAGTGAAAAGTGCTCATTGAAAATTGAACGTTTTCAGGAGTCTCCCTCTGCGGCTTCCTTGTTTCCATATGCTAGCGAGGATTGCGTGAGTTATGACCGCCGCTTATGCCACAAAGTCAACTTCTGATTGCCTGGATAGTTTCCGATTCCCGCTCGCCGCGGAGAAAAGTAATTCCCCCTGTAAGTTGCTCTAAAATATGCACTCCGCGGCATGGAATTCGGATTGGGATGAGGCGCGGGAGGAGTCGGAAGAAGCTGGCTCACAGAGAACATAAATGGATTTTTCCGTCGGGGGAAGAAGAATTTTCAATTTGAAATAAATTTCTGCCTCGGTCGGGGCATTCCTTGTCCTTAGCCTTGCCTTTTTCTCCGAGTGTCCTGCCAATGGAGAGTAGAAGGATCCCGGAGCAGGAATAGCCCGAGATAAGGCAAACAGCCAAACGTTTATAAATTGGGCGCTAGTGTGGAATCCCAATGGTAATGATGGCGGAAAAGAGGGCGGGGCCAGGGCGATTCAACTGAGATGTCAGAAATACACACGCACAGGCCAATAAGGAAATATAAATTGCTCCGTCGGAGCACCGGGCGGCTCTGAATTACACAGAAAAATAAAAAGAGTAAGTAACAATGTGGATACCCTTGCAGTGAATCAAACAGAATACGGCCATGCCAACACTGCGTATGAGGGATTGCAGTTCAATTAATGCGTAAGGACCTCTATAATAAACCCGATTTAGGCGAAATATTTTTGTGCAGTGCACGTATACGAACTCGAGCGAGAATTGTAAAGGCAGTGCGTGTAATTTAATATGCATAAATCGATACTTGGCTGCCTTCTTATACTCACTGCCCCAATCCTACGCCAGGATATGTGAATGGGATTGGCTGTAGGCTCCTTTCCCAGCTATCCAGCTACACAGCTACCACCTTCCCTCCGAAAAAAGCCCGTCCCTTCCGCCTTTTGTGCTGTTTGTGTTCTATTTTGAGCGCAAAATTGTTATTTGTTTTTACGTATTCTCAGCCTTCTTCCGCTGGAATGGCGGGAGCTTTGCATATCTACAGTTTATGGCCTTCATACAGTTAACATTTTCCCATAGATAAGCACTTCTGGCACCACCATGTGCCTGTGTTTCGTATTCTGTGTTCTGTATTCTGAATTCCGTATTCTCCGCCGCCGCCGCCGCTCGTTGTATCGCAAATAATTTGAAAAGTCATTTTATTCAATTTCAATTGTGTCCGTCGGGGGGAGAAGGAGGAGGGAAATGGTTTGGCAGGGGGTGAATAAATGGGCGGAAGTGAATGCTCTCGATTTCATATGCCCGATATGAGCGGAAGCCCCGAGAAGTAGGCAGATACACAGATATTCAGATACAGATGGACGGGATGTATGGGATGTTCGGGATGGGCAATCGGTTAGGCGACATATTGATTTCCTTGATAAATACTTAATAAAAATACACTCAAGTGCCGGCACTTGTCTCATCCCGACCGGAAACGATGGCAGCTAGCTGTAGCTCCAAGTGGATGGCATGAATCTAATCGCATTGCAGAGAGTCCCATAAAGATCTGACTTTCTGTCTCGGTCGCAAATAAAGTTATCCCCACGCTTTAAAGGCGAAATCTTCGCCTCCGGTCCGAGGGCGGTCTCAAGTCTATTTGCATTGCGCACAATAACATTTCTATAACTATTCGAGAGTAAACAGAGCCAACCCCAACTACACAAAATCCAGCACAACCCGCCCCCTGTGCCCGCATTATCGACAGCCACAACTATTTTTCTTCCAGCTGAACTTCTGCCTTCTTCTCGCCATTCCCCAGTTGCATCTTGCATCCTGCTTCCCGGACCCGGGATTCGCCCACACCCTGCTCCTTGTTCCTTTGCTCCGTGACATGCAGTGTGCTGTGCGATTAACCAGACATCAATGGCCAGGCCAAAACCATAGTTACACAGGGAGAAAACTGAAATTATCTATGATGACAAGTTAATACCAATTGTTAGCTTTTTCTATAATAATTTAGTAATTAACTATCAGTTGGAATATTAAGTTAAAATCGGTTTCTGATTCTAAATTAAATGAAATTCTCAGACAGGTCTACAGAGTTTTCTTCTGTGCAGCTCAACTAGTAGCTGTGGCCGCCTATGCCATCCTCCACGATGC